CTGTGCAGTGTTTTGAACTGTTGGTTGTGGTGCTGGATTTTGAACTGTTGGTTGTGGTGCAGTGTTTTGAACTGTTGGTTGTGGTGCAGTGTTTTGAACTGTTGGTTGTTGTGTTGGTTTTGGTGCATGCCTGTGTCTGTGTCCATGTGACGATGTAAATGTTTTAGGTAGTCCTGGTGCAGGTGCTTCTCTTGGAGGGTTTGGTGGTATATAAGTTCCACCAGCTGGCACATATGTTCCATCTGCAGCATAATGTCCTACCTGACTTTTCGTTTTTAAGAAAGCATTTACTAGGTCTGTTTTGGTCTGTTGTAACTCTTTTTCTTGACTTTCCACAACAGTTGCTCTAACGGCGTCATAGGCACTTTGAACTGCCTGTCTCGTTGCTGCATCTGTTATTTTCGTCATATTTTGTGCTACTTCTCTTAACTCGTTGTCGAAACCTTCAGACTTCAGTTTCTTTCCAGATGAGAAGTCGTTCACTAGTTTCACCTTACTATGAAGAGCTTCGAAGGCGTTCTTAAAGTCAGCATTCATTAAAGCTTCATTTGAACTGTCTTCATCCGCTTGTATTTTTGTCCTTATTGACCCTATAAGTTGGGCTGCTTTAGCGTTGGCTTGGGCATCTAACCAGTCATTATTAGCTTTTATATATTCTGCGCTTTTCATTGCCTTTTGCATGGCTGCGTCGTTATTTTTACTTTCTTGTGCTAAGTTTCATACTGTACGGTTTGGTTTTGCAACTGTAAAAGTTTTTCTGCCTTTACATTTGCTTCAACTTCTTTTTTATACTCATCGCTATCCATATATGTCTTCAGGGCTTTTTGTTTTATTTCTTCATCTTTCAGTACTTTATATTGAGTAGTATGGTTTTTCAAATTTATAACATCTTGTTCCATTTTTGCTACTTCTGCTGCTTTTTCTGACACTTTTTTCGCATATTCCTCTGTACTTAGTTCTTTCAGTTGTTCTTCTTTCTTCTTTTTCTCTACGTTTAACTCATTGAGTTTCTTTGTGTGTCTGTCATATTCTAGTTTCTTTTCGTTTTCACTTATTTGTTTCTGTATGTCTATGTTTGACTTTTTGACATCTGTTATTTGATTTTTGAGTGAACTCAAATTCATTTGACTTTGAGGGTTATAAGCTGTTCCGTCTGCAGCTCCACCATAGCCTGCCATTTTCGCTAAAAGTGCCGCTCTTAAACCTCCACTCTGTGCACCAATAACTCGGCTTAAAAGCATAGGGTTGCTTGACATTTGTTGCAACATAGTGGGGTCATTCATCATTTGTTGTTGCAACTGTTGTTGTGGTGTCAGTTTTACTATTGGATGTTTCAATGCTCCCTTCCTCTTACGTATATTCTTACGTAGCTTACGTGGCATTTTAAGTGAAGTAAAAAACGGTTTTTGACAGATGTTTATATGACACTTTTTGTTCAGCACAAAAAACTACTCGGTCAAAGTGTTGTCAGTTTTGTAAAATAACCGTCCTATCTCATTCTATAAGGGGAAAAGGCTTCTCAAAGTTTACTTCCTTGGAACGCCTGTAACTTTTCCTGTAGCGACGATAGACCCTTACTTGTCCGGACAAAGTTATACTAAACATCTTCAGGGCTAGAGGGCACGAAGTGCCTGGAAGCCCCACTTCCTTTTTTTTTTTTTTTTGATTCATGGTTCGGAACATACAAACAGTCATTACATATTGAATAATATTTGTTTTGGAAGATTTGAAGATACAATTAAACTTTCATCTTTAAGTTTATTCAACATTTCATATTCCACAGATATCACTTATGTTTACATCGAAACAATGGTATTCGACACAATTTCTATACATAAAAATTTCAGATATTCAGATGGAACTTTAATAATTGATAATAAATCAATTATCCCAAATGAAATTACAATTGACACATAGTTGCAAGCATACCTCTATATATCGATTTCACTGAGGATAGTTTTAATATTAAAATTAATGAAAATTCGAGCAAATTAAGATTTATAGTATCAATAATTGACCTTGAATCAAATTCAACGATTAATATTGATAATTCCAATGCATGCTATTCTCAAGTCAATTATTACATAAAAAACGGTATTTTGAATTTAACTGGATCAAATGATGCCTATAGTACAAATTCATATTTATATATCATTGATAATTCAACAATCTTTTTGTCAGAGACTTCTGATTTAAACATAATGCAAACCATTATTGATTCAACTGATGGTTTTTCATTCCCAACAATACAAATTGGAACTAATTCTGAGCTTTATATTGAAAAATTTATTGCCTATTCAAGCTTCAAATTGAGTATACCCGAATGTGTTAATACCATCACATTTGAGAGCTTTATTGTTAACAAAACAGAAATTTCTATTGAATTTCTTCAAAAACAAGATGTTGTAATTGCAGGCAGAATTTTGAAAATCAGCAAAAATATAAGTTCCAATGGAAAGATTAAATTTTCTGAATTTTCAGAAATATCAGTGAATATTGATTTACCTCATATTGACTTTGAATCAACGGAGGTTATTATGAATTTTGACTTTGGTAAAAACAGGCCTATTGTATTTAACTCATTCAATGTTAGATTTATCAAAATTTTCATTGCGGTTGAAGAATATAAAAAGTATGATGATTATGCAAATATAATTAATGTTAACTATCCAATTGTTATTGCAAATAGTTTATCTGTTCAAACTACATACATTTTTGTATCTGGTAAAGATCCTGATGACCCTTGGTCTCCTCAAGTTTCTGTACCATCAAAGTTAAAAATAGAACATGTACAATCTAATAATACACTGTATTATTACATATCACAAAATCCAGTATTAATATACTTAAAAATTTTATACACATCAACTCCAATATATGATAAACCTTTCATCGCATTCGAGTCACATGATTTGAAAACGACATTAGATAACTATGTCAAGGATTACACAAAAGGAATCACTATCTACTTGTGTGAAGATCTCCAAGAATCAAATAAAATCGAATTGAACATCCATGAAAAGATAGAATTTCGAATTTTCTCATATTCTTCAGATAACAATAAATTCAGTTCCAACTTTGATTTGTCGAATATTAATGATTTTTGTAATTCATTTGTTCTTTCAAATGTCAATATACGTTCAATTCATCCAATTGCATTTGATAACATGAATGTAAGCTTATTATCATATTCTCATATTCAAAGCTCATATTCATTCACAAGTCAAACAACAGTTTTAGTCAGCAGTTCTTCGATTGCAGAACATCAATTCGACAATGTTGTCGCATTCGGAATTGTTGCTGATATGAGTAGTAATAGTGTCGTTCAAAAAGATCATAGTATTTGTTTGCTTGATAATTCAAATATCAAGCATTGTAACACAGGTGAATTATCCGATATGTATTTGATTGTCGAAAACGAAACAACACTTCATCTCGAAGATATAACTGAGAATCATATCAATCTCATATATATAAAGTTTATTTAAATATAATCACCATTGGATTCAATCACGCGTTCGCAGCGATCGATCCAGGCTTGAAAGACACGCTTTAAATCATCATAAGAAAATTGCTCAAATTGCTCTCTTACAAAATTTTCAAGATCATCTGGACTCGCGAATTCGCGTCCTTCAGCTCTCTTTTTTAGCGTGCCGAATAAATAAAAGTCAGAGGGTGCAATATCAGGTGAATAAATTGGGTTTGGAACAACTTTGACATTGTTTTCCAACAAGTAATTCATTACCTTATGACTTTTGTGAACTCTTGAATTATCAAAATGAATTGCAAACTTTTGTTTTTGTTGTTTGGATTTCTCAAACTCATCAGAATTGATAATTTGAGTAAGAACATTGTCAATTAGATACTGAGCATTCATCGTATTAGGTTTTTGAAGAATATTAATTGCGATGATGCCATTCACGCCCCAAAAAACCGACAACATCATCATTGGTGTGTCAATTTTTTTCTTCGGGAATGTTTGCGGATTTTCATCCTTTGGGATCCACATGATTTTGGCTTCTGTTGCATATTGAAACCAAAACTCGTCCCCTGTTACTAAAAAGCGAAACTTCTTGGATTGATACGCACCCAATATAGAGAGGAGCTCTTTCGAAGATTGGACTCTAGATTTTTTTTGAACTGAATTAAGGTTGTGCGGAACCCAACGTGTATACGCTAGTTTGTAGTTCAAATAATTGTGCAGATAATAACTGACTGTTGTACGTGGTATCTTTGTCATCTCCTCTATCCTTCTGAGTGATGCTCTTGGGTCTTCATCTAGCGCTTGAAGAATTGCTTTGATTTTTCTTTGATCCGGCGATTTTTTGTCAATTTTTATGATGGGCGCCTTTTTGTTCATGAAGTGATACATCCTAACATGATACGTTACAGTGGAATAGCTAGGAGCATCCATACCGAAGCATTTTACCAATGTCTCGTAGATTTTTTTACAGTCTTTGCATTTTTTTGCAAGAGCGAGGATGTTTTCTTTATGATTCATTAAAAAAATGAAAAAAATCCCGCCAAAATTTCCCGCGAAACCGCCTCTTGTCTCAAAATTCATTTTATATCCCGGCATGGCGCCAAAATACAACATACTCATCATATACATATATTCATATTTTTTATTATATATTTATAATCAGCATATATCTCCTTTAATAGTCTCATATAGAGCGCTGTGCTAAACGCACCTTTGGACACCCTATATCTAAAAATTATTACAGAGAGTGGAGAATTTCCGATTTGTAATTCAGCTGCTTTTACTAATCTTCTTTTAACGAATGGTGCAGAATCTGAAATCTCTTCAAGTATTACCTTTCCGAGTGGTAATATTGTTTTCATTCCACAAAATGGATTCACAACATTAACAATCAATGCTGATGATAAAGATCAATGGTACAACATTATTAAAATTACAAAGGCAAATCACGAAAATAAACTGAAAGTTATTATTAGTACAACCTCAATAATGCCATTTAATCTCGAAGGATTCATTAATGAAGTTAATGTTTATAATGCATCACATTGAACCAACAACGGATCTTATATCATTCAATGTTTATAACGATGATGAAAAGAATATTCCGGTTATTACTTTATTACTTTATGATGGTATCAAATTCACGTATTATTTAAATATAAACCAAACTTCTGGAGAAGAATCATCTATCGTTGTTAATTATGACAGTTCACATGTTAAACCTATAAGCTATAATGTTCATATCAACCACAATTTACATCCAAATTATTATCATAAGCTTGACACGTATAAGAATAGCTTAGTTTATACTAGTAAGTTGAATGATTCAATTACAGCATCACCAACGCAAACACCATCACCTACACCAAATGTACATCCTGATCCAACAACGACGACTTCTGAGATGACTCCAGAAAAAACACCAGAAACAACATCTCAAGATTCAGATGATAAACAAAAAGATGGTAAAGGCAAGAGGATCGGTATCATCCTTGGAAGTACCATTGCAGTTATCATTGTCATCGTCGTCATTGTTATTATCGTAATCACGATAATCAAAAAGAATAAGGAAGACTCTACTGGCGTCGTTCTTGAAAAACTCGTTTAAAATCTCGAATAAATATTCAGATTTTTTAAAATCTTATTAATTTTTTCCCTAAATACCAACCCAATAACTCATTTTGTCATCTTATGCCTTTTGAAAAGGTACATTCACTAGGCGATAACAGTAAAACGGGATGAAAATAGGATAAATAGCATCCCTATATAGTGCCTAACAATATTTATACAGACCAAAAAAAATTTGGCTAGAGATTTGGCGAGTTAGAAAAGTTAGAAAATTGAGAGGAATTTTTATTTTTGAATTTTTTTGGAAAGTTAAAATTAGAATCAAAAATCGATTTCTGGGAGAACCACGCATCTTTTCATATTTTTAAATCGACAGGAATATTAAATAATAGTTGTATAGTATTATTACCTGAAATTATGGTTGAATATACAGAAAAAATGAATATATTTGACAATTTTGAAAAGTCATAAAGTTAGATGGTTACAGACTCATAAACTATACTTTAGCTAAGATTGATATATGATTTCAACAACATATGGTTAAAATCGTATAATTTTTTTAGATTTCAAAGAGATATATATGGTAATATAATGCAAGAGAGTCAGCAAATAGCATGTAAAGTATGTGACAATTAACTTTTTATTATATACAATAGTAGATATCGAATAATTTCCAACTTTATTGTTAAATATTTTCTTATCGAGCTTCTCTTTAACGGTTGTATTAAGGTTGTAAATTTTTGATGCTAGAAACTTTGAAATCTTCTTTGCTGCTGCATTTTTCTTGAAAGTTGTTGCAATTTCGAATAGATCTGCGCATTGTATGAAATGATAACTTTAAAATATCTTGAAAACAGAATAGGACTGCTTTTCCAAAGAAATACTTACTTGTAAATCAGAGAATTTCAAAACTGATTACAAGATTATCATCATAACTTTGGATTTTGATGAGCAAAAAGGCAGATCAGGTATTAACAAATCATTTACTGTAGCTCATAAAAAGAATAAAACTTTGTTCACAACTAATGATGATAAAATAAAGCTATCTTTTAATAATTAAAATTGAGAAGATATTCAAAATATTTGAATGGTTTAAAATATTTTCTTTTAATTTCTCTAATATATCTTCATAATTATATAATCAAATTTAAATTTTTATTCAAAAAGGCAATATTTCAAATTTTAAATTTCAATAATTTTAATTGTGCAATAAATGTTTTTGGTTGTAGCGGGTTTAAAGATTTCTCCCCATATTTAGTAATTTGGTATTCATAATTTAATGATATCTTCAAGTAAAATTCAGAATTATTTCAAAAGTCAATAATTCTCTAGTAACTTTTCCCCAAAACCTAACCATTATATTATATGTGCAATTATTCATAATTGCAAAGAAAGGTGGGCGCATTTACTGGGTAGTTCTTGTGATGCGAAATAATTGGAAATTAACACCTAGTTTTAACAGCACCATTCTCTTTTTTCTCTTATTTAAATGCATTTGCACACTTTATTTTTGAAATATAAGAGTTTTGAAAATTATCTAATTTATCTGCTCAAAAACTATAGATCTTCATAGGTGTTAATAGAATTACCAGCCTTACATATAGTGTTTAATATATTGATGCACATCATACTGGGATTTATTCCTTATTCATCTAGTTATTATAAGATTTATAACCCCATGAAAATTTAAAATTTTGTCAAAAATAGTGAATGTACCTTTCCTTTTGACCCTGAGATAAATTTGGAATTTCAATAATTGATTTCTGATAATTTTTCCATAAATAATAATTGCATGAAGCTAAATGTCCAAGCAAAATTGATCAACTCTTCTTTATTCAAAAATGTGAAGTAAAAATGTGACATCTACAACATAATTTCTGAAAAATTTATTTCGTATGTTAGCTGTACACCTAATTGTCAAAAAAATATAATTTCAATTGGGAAAAACCCGCAAAAGATTTTGAATGCATGATTATGTTATTCCTGAACCAAAAGATGACTACGAAATGTGGGAATCATGTTTGGCTGCTCAGGATGAACAAGAAAATCAATTCAGACTCTTTCTTATCACAATAAAAAAGCTATTATCACAAGTAACTTCAAAAAAGAAACTCAACCCACCTATTGAAAACAAAACTGGTCATTTCTTAGATACCACTTTGCCGAATTTGTGCAAAAGACTTGTAAATCAAGCTGCATGGCAGACAAATCAACAAATCGTATGTCAAATTCTTGAGCAATCATATCTTACTATCCAGATTGCAATTAACTCACTCGAACCAAAGCAGGTTATTCCACTTTTGCTACTCTTAAATCCAAATGTTCCATTTTTCATTGAAACAAAAACAGGATTCAAAGTAAACAAATCCAAAAAATACAAGGAAATAGTTGATACATTTATTCGCAAGAATGGAATTGACTCTGTTTGTCATTTTATAAATTCGAATCCTACTATTTGCCCAATTGATGTATATTGCGGCTATTTTACGCTAGTAATACTATTTAAGGATGTAGTAGATATGGATGATCCTATGAAAGTAATTAAACCTATTGAATTCTTTTTAGAAAATCTTAAATTCTTCACACAACAGAGCAGATCGTCCAATAGAGACACATTTAGTTACGTTATAAATACAGTTCTCAAGATATCACTCTCAAATCAAGGCTTATGCAACAAATATGTCGATCAATTAATAAGCATCGCTACAGAGCATATTAACTCCGATAATTTGGAGAAAAATATGATTGGTATTAGTATTCTTACAGAAATTATTGAATCCGTTCGTTCTTCGTCGTTTTTATTTGATCCAAATCTCGTATTACAGAAAATTCTCGATAAAGACTTACACCAACAAGTTATTCCGAAGCTTACACCACTTTTTGTCGAATTGGCCAAAGCCGAGAAGCTCACAATTGATCTATTAATGATTCTTTGGGAAAAAACAAAAACTGCTCACTTTTCTGTCCAAAACTTGTATTCAGACCTTCTTGGCGAGTCCCTAGGAACTGTTAACTATCAGACTTTTAAAGATTGGCAGTACCAAATCGTTCACAATCCGAATATAAATAAAATTATTTTCAAAGTTCTTCTGAAATGTGCATGTACGTCAGCAGATGAGAATGTTGTTAGACTTGCCTTGCAAACATTGTTCAAATATGTTGATAATAAAGAACTTGTTGCAGCAATAATCAAAGATTACGATGAATTAAAGAACAAAAAGATCCAGAAGCTCTCTTTCTTCTTTATCATGGATGCGATAAGGGAAAACAATAATAATGTTGAGCTTTTCAAGCTTCTATCCACGAATCTTAAAAGATTCAAAGAAAATTCATATACGTTAGACATCATGGAGATTGCTAAATACATCAAAGATAATCCTGATGACGAAAACTTGTACTATGTATTCAAAACAGCCATTGAAATTAAAAAAATTAAAATTCCAGCACAAGCAATCTCTTTTTTGTTCAACAAACCCACTGAAATATTATGGAAGACCATCAACTATTTGTTATCGCAGAGCGGATTGAATGCTTTCGAAGAAGAATCTTATCAAGAAATAGAATCTAACTTAAACAAGCTTCCGGAGCTTCCAAGGACTGTAGAGTTCATGCAGTTCCTTAAGAACTACATTATATTGCTTGGTGTTGAGAAAAGAACGATTGATTGTTCAAAACAACCAGGATCAATTCCGAAAAAGTTCAAATTGAACCAGATTGATACTCCTGGATTCTCTTTCTTATGGAGAGCGTTTGATGAAGAGAAAACATCAAGTACTTTAGTACAATCAACAATTATTTCTTTAATTGAAGTTGTTGACATTTTGGCAGCACCCAGTGTATTGCATTTTATCATGAATATGATTAGAAAATCAACTGGGCTTAAAAGAGAACGATATTTGTGTCTTTTGTATAAATTTATTCAAAATTATGAAAAAGGAACGATATTATCGAACTACGGATACATAAGACATAAAGATCTGGTTATTCCAAGCTCAAGGAGATCTTGTTTGTATATAATGAGCGACAATATGTCGAATCCAATAATATTTTCAACAGAAAACAAGCCAAGTATCGAATATATTCTTCTGAAATTCACTTCTTATTATGGGGTTGGTATAAAGAAGGCCGAATTTTACTATAATCAGCAGAAATTAGCAGTAAGTAAATCATTATCCGAATATTACATCCCGAACAACGCAATACTGCTAGCAAATAATCTTGATTTCACATATACCAGGCCAGAAGCCTATCTTCCTTCAGCAGTTCTCTTCCATGAGAGAAATTATAGCATTTTTTACGAGATTTTGCGCCAAGAACATTCTCAAAAGGAGTGTGAGATCATAAAAGGAATTTTGCAAGACATCCCAAGCGATCCCAACCTTATTGATAAAATTTATTCAAATATATCTTCAGTCGTTTCGACTCTCTCCAGCGAACATAACCCTGTTATTGCGAATTACATCCTTGAGTGCTTGATATTGCCGTCGTACAATCCACAAATTATGCAGCAGTTTATCCAATATAATGGAATTCCTGTAGTTTTTAATAAATTACAGGACATAGAGTTTATAGATTTAGCATCTCCATGGTTTATTATCCTTTCTAATCTACCTCCGGAGATTATTGGACCATTTGCAATTCAAATTTTAAATTTCATCTGCGGAAATTTGACGAAATTCCAAATTGAAGCCAAAAACGAATCTATTACATTTTTGATGAAGCTCAATCCCGAAATTGCCAAAGAAATCATCATGAAAAACCAAGATTTAATTGTAGAAATTATTTCGAACCTTACGAACAATCCATTGACCTATTTCACCAGATACTTATTAAGTCTTGATATCCCTGACTTTTTAGTATCAATTTGTGTCCCACAACTGAAAAACAACAAAGATCCTTCTCATTTCATCCAACTCTTTGTAGAATCAGTTGCCAATGCATCGAGTAACGACATTCACCATATGCTTGATCTCTGCTTCTCTTTGGTCGATAAATATGCAACAAGTGACCAAATATCGAATACAATTTCAAAACTATTTCTTAAAGCCATGAAAACCCCAGAAAACTTAACTTTCTTGCTTCCTAAGATATTCGATACCGTAAAGAAAGCGAAATCCCAGAAAACAAGAGAAGTTTTATTATCTGCTCTGACAAACGTTGAAATTCCACCAATAGAATCATTCACAACGCCAATCAGACAGTTTGTCTCAGAATTTACCAACAGATACTTCGACAGATACAGTTTTTCACCAAATTCCGAAAACAGATCTCAATATGGATCAGGATTACGGAACTTAGGAGCCACTTGCTATGCAAATAGTACTTTGCAGCAATTATTCCACCTATCTCCATTCCTTACTATGCTATTCCAAGAAAATTTGACAAATGATGCATTGATTTCACTGAAATATCTATTCCACGCCATGCTTATTAGTCAAAGACAGTATTGCGACCCAGAGCCCTTCATGACTAAGCTCAAAGCACCGGGTGGAGGAAAAATTGATTTCAGTGAAGAACAAGATGCGTCAGAATTCGTTTCCAACTTGATTTCGCAGTTCCCGAAGCCATTGTCCACATTGTTTACAGGCAGAAACAGGAATGTTTTTGAGAACAAAGACGAAAATCAACGGATAGAAAATCTAGAAGATTTTACAACTTTGTCATTAAGTGTTCAATCATCAGATTCAGTCCAAGACTCTCTTAAACAGACAACAATGCCTGAATACATGATGTACAATTGCGAGAACATTGGCAAATCAATACAAATGGAGAGAACAACGTGGATTGACGAAGCTCCTCCTGTTTTGATCATTTCTTTGAAAAGATTCGAATTCGATGTCAGTAATTTCACTAGGATAAAGATAAACAAACACGTGGAAATCCCTGAAACACTGTCTATCAAAGAAGTGATGTATAATAATGAAAATCTCGACGATAACGATTATATTTACAATTTATTTGGCATGGTTTTACACACAGGAAATGTCAATTCCGGGCATTATTTCTCTATCATCAAAATGGAGAAAGATGATGAGGAACTGTGGGTGAAATACAATGACACTGAAGTAGATAAGATCAAGACAGAAAAAGCATTTAATGACGCTTGTGGCCAGAAATCGAAATCTCAACAAGAAAATAATACTTCCGCTTATTTGTTGTTTTACATCAAACAAAAGTCAGATTTTAAATTTGTTGATGTGAATGAAAACAAGGAAATATGCAACCCAGAGATAGTCTCGAGAATAGAAGATGATAATAAGATATTCATCTTTAATCAATGTGCTTTTACTCCTTCTTTGTTTGATTTGGTGTCAAAATTTGGAGATTTTGAATTGTTTACAAAATATTTTCTCAGAATTTTCTTGCATTCAACAATGGAAAATGACATAAACAAAGCAGAGAGTAGGATGATATGTAGGGTTGATGAACACCCCAATGAAATCTGTAAATTAATATTGGATGACAAAGAAAACGTCAATAAAATATTGACAGTTTGCACAAATTCAAAATTTACAACGAGTTTCACAAAAATTTTGAAAAAAGTGCTTGAAAAATCATCGAAAGAGATGAGTTACGAACTGATAAGTAACATCATCAACTGTTTGTTATCGAGTACTAACATGTGGCACTGTATTCCTAATTTGTCTGATTTAATACAACATTATATTTATTTGGATAAAGAAAACGTGACAAAAATTGCCGAAAATGAGTCACAAGTTCACTCAATTTTGTTCGTAATCAATGATATTTTTAGTGACGCGAAATCCCAGATATTCCTCCAAAATGTTGACGCGTCAAAACTGTTTGACATTGTCAGAAATTTGGCAAATGTCAAATTTTACGAAGAAATGGCCAAACTCAAATTTTTGCAGGCGAAAGTTTGTGTCTCCAAAGTCCATTTCAACAGCTACACGAACATGTTGAAAACAATTTCTGAAAACGATACACTCACAAATATTTTTGACACTTTGGCGGTTTTCAAAACTGACGATGAAATTGACATTTTCCTGGACAATCATCCGAATGTTTCAACTGTTTTCGAGCAGATTATTAAGATCCTGAAACAAAATGACTTAAACGCAAAGAATTATATTTTAAGTCATTTGAAACCATTTTTGAAATATTTAATTTCAATAAATTCTGGTTTCCAAAAAAGTGCTTTTAATTTGCTTCATTCTTTGTTCCCCAATTTCATTCTCGACTTCAATGGAACTCAGCCACAAAACGAAGGATCAGAAGAAGCAAACCAAGTAATTGAATGCCTTCTATCGTTGTCAAAATTGAATATAATGGAAAAAGTGACACATGAAAATTTATGTTTGGCATTTTCATTTATTTTCTTCAACAGCGGTAACATTTCACAATGTCTAAGTGATCTTGTATATTTAGGTCTAAATGTTTCTGACAAAACCGCTGTCAAAACCGCTTCATTTAAATTATTAACGTCGATTGATATTTTAGCGAAAACAAAGATCGAAACATCGTACATGACAACGTTTTTGAAGGACGGAGAAATGATGAATGATCACAAAGAAACAAGTTTAGTTTTTCTTGGTTGTTGTGCTATAATATTTTTAACAAATATCGAAGAAAGTGAATCCATCAAATTGTTACAAACTAAACTAGTTTTTGATCATTTGATAAATGCTTCAAAAATGACATCTGATTATAAATACATCAGACAATTGTTGGATTATCTTTTGTATTTGAAAGATAAGAATGTAATGGTGGATGATCTTATTGTTGATGTTTATTTCTGCAAGAAAATAACACCTGTTGTTTATCATTTCGTTGAAACTTACAAATACTTGGAAATGATAACAAAAATGATTGGAAAATTAGAATGTTTGAAAAACATCAAATTCACTTTCATTTATTTGTTGAATCCGCAAAATAACGTTGTTGATGATGAGCCTATTTATTATGTTCTTGACTTGTTCGATGATGAAACACCAACAAACATTTTCTCAGATGAACAATGGAGATCTTTAATTGATTTCTTCGAGAAAAAGAAAAATGATTTGAGATTGAAATTCTGTCAAATTTTGACAAAAATGTGTCAAAAAGACCTCAAATCGAACTTTTCTCAAATAATTAAGTCTCTTGCAAGTATTTTAAGAGATGAACCATTGATGATTTCCATTGCTTTGTTGGAGAATGACATGCCGACAATAAGAGATGTCGTGAAAAGTTCGAATTCAAACAGAGATGTTATTTTCACTTTGTTGAAGGACTCTAATGAAGCAAAGAGAGAACTTATCAGGTGCTTGCAAGCAGCCAAGCATGAACTTCCAATTGAAAATGAATTCTGGGAAGACGTCATCAGAATAGCTTCGAAAGATGACGCAATTTCAGTCTGCAAAGAAATTTCGTCATTGATGAATTTCGGTGTTGAGAGCGCAGACATGTGGGAAACACTTCTTTCTATTAAGAAATTGAAGGAAATGACAGGAGATGATATGATGCAGCTGTTTAAGGCAGCAGGAAATGAATTGTTTAAGGAGAAAAACCCTTTAGTTGAAAAATTATTTTTGTAAAATTATATTTTATAATAAAATATGAGACTTTTTTCCCCTTAATTTGGAATAATGAAGTTTGTAACATCAATACTATATTTCATTATTTCAAGTGGGCAATTATATTTCAAGATTTATCACAAGTCAGATGGCAAATAATAATCAAAAAGATATCAAAAAAAATAATTTATTCCTATTTTTTGGATCTAAATATATGCTCGTTTTTTGGATCTAGATACAAATTATTTTTTGCTTAATAAAGAGCGGTTTTTCCTTCATTATCTTTAGCATCAAGATCTGCCCCATATGAAATAAGAATTTTTGCTGTTTCTATCTTATTATTAATTGCTGCATAATGAAGAGCGGTTTTTCCTTCTTCATCTTTTTCATTTACATCTGAACCATGTGAAATTAGGAGTTCTGCTATTTCTTTGGTATTATATAGTGCTGCACTCCTGAGATAAAATTTTTCGTCACTTTTTACACCATGTAAAAAAAGAACTTCTGCGGAATCTTTACAATTATAAGCAAATACAAAATCAAGAAGGGTACTTCCAAATGAATCTTTTTTATGGACACTTAATCCATGTAAAATAAGAAGTTCTGCAACTTCTCTGCTATTATATTCAACTGCACAATGAAGAGAGTTTCTTCCATATTCGGCAACGGCATTTATATCTGCACCATATAAAATAAGAAGTTCTGCTGTTTCTTTGCTATTATTAATTGCAGCATAATGAAGAGGTGTTTTTCCCTTTTTATCTTTAGCATCAATATTTGCACCTTGTGAAATAAGAAGATCGATTATTCTATTGCTGTTATTTATTGCTGCATAATGAAGGACTGTTTTTCTTTCTTTATCTTGAGCATAAATATCCGCACCTTGTGAAATCAAATATTGACAAAGTTTAACATCATTGAATACTGGCGAATAAAGTAAGCATTCGTCAAACTTATTTAGTATTTTTCTGAATAAAAATTAATGTAGTATATATGTATTAAGGTAGGTTACAAAATTCACTATAAAATCTATCGTTCGTAACACTCTCAATATATTTACTATATGCATCTAATATCATTGATACCTTTTTATTTATATTGAACCGCATTTTCATCAATTTTGAAATAATCGTTACGATCCCCTAAATAAGTGTTGCCCAAATTCAATTCAAAAAATCGTTTTTGGACTTTTTTGGCGCCATAGATAACCCCATAATGTAGAGGTGTCTTTCCCTTTTTATCTTTAGCATCAATATTTGCATCTTGTTAAATAAGAAGATCGATTATTCCATTGCTATTATTTATTGCTGCATAATGAAGGACGGTTTTATTGAAATCAATATAAGCTTGTGTAATTTTGGAAAATCCTTCCACATTAGGCGAATTCTATTGAAAAATATTGAGATTGTCCTTGCAATATTTGTTGAAAAGAGAATGGCCGGTCATTCAATGGTTTGAAGTTTCTCATAAGATTATTGATGTCCAAACTAAAGATTTATCGTAGAAATATCCTTATTAGATTATATATGTATACAATAATATTAATGAACTGTGAAATATTTATGTTTTTCATTATGAAATGTGACTATTGATTGTAGAGAGAATTGCATCGTATTGTCATAAAATAATGTTGTCATAATAAAATTAATCAATATGGGGACTTTTGAAAAAGTTTATTGGCAATGTTCCTCATCTGAAGTGATTGTGCAGATGTTATAGCCCAGTCAATATTTATATTTTCTTTCCCTTCAAACTTATCATTATTTTATCATCGTTTTAAAATATTCTCTATCTCTTCATATTAATCATTGTTTTACAATATTTTTTATTCTTCATTATTTTATGGCATTCTCTTTCTTTTCAAATTTATTTTATTATTTTATGAAATTCACCTTCTATTCGAATGAATTATTATTTTATTTCATTTTCTATATTTTCATATTAATCTTTGTTTAAAAATATTCTCTATCTCTTCATATTAATCTTTGTTTAAAAATATTCTCTATCTCTTCATATTAATCATTGTTTGATAGCATTCTCTTTCTTTTGATATTTATCATTGCTTAATGATATTCTCTCGATATTAATGAATGCCCTCTTAGTTTTGCTATCAAAATTAAATCAACAAATATTATCAAATTCTTAGTTGATCATGGTGCCGATGTTAACATGAAACTTATTCTATTTCTTTTCATTTTAATCATTGTTTAATTACATTCTCTTTTTCTTCATATTTATCCTTGTTTTATCACATTCTCTTTCTTTCCATATTTGCTATTGCTTCATTGCATTCTCATTCTCTTCATATTTAGCATTTTTATATCGCATTAACTTTCTTTTCATATTAATCATCATTTTATTACATTTGTAATTGTTTGATGAAAATCACTTTCATTTCATATTAATAGTTGGGTTATCACATTCTCTTTATCTTCTGATTTATCATTGTTTTATGAAATTCTCTTTCTTTTCATATTAATCGTTACTCAACAAAATTCTCTTTCTCTTCAAATTTATCATTATTTTATTATATTCTCTTGCTTTTCATATATATTATTGTTTTATGAAATCCATATTCTATCCATACTATTCCGAACATAAAATGATATCTGTTTATATTTGTTTCCTCTGTTACGTAAAATGATGATTGTTTCTGAAAAAGGTAATTTTAGTTTTGCTTGGCTTAATTTTTCGAGAAGATGGTTTAATTCGAGATTTTATTCTTAGTTGTTTTTGTTTTATATGGCATACTTCTGTCCAAATAAAATTTTGTTCTGGATTTATTTGTTCATTGTGAGTGTTATTAAATACAACTTTTCCTGATGTTTTGTCATTATTTCGAAGGTAACAATTAATAACTTCTATTTTAGCAAATCGACTTACTACTGAAAAAGTATTATTTCCTGAGTTATCAATAATGTTACATTCAACTATTAATGTGTTGCCCCAGTCATTGCTTATAACTTGATCTTTAACAGAGTTTTTAATGATGTTGCTATGATATAATTTTAAAGCAGCATAAGCTTCATTTCTTATACAATATTCATTTGTTGCTGTATTATTTATTATTGAACTATAATTGGAATTCGATTCTGTTTGTCCTGATCCGAATTGGTATCCGCAGCTTTTATTTGTTCGAAAATATGAAATATTTGTTTTTGTTATGCATTTAATTCCTTGTAATAAAAATATTGGTGATTTTCCAATTGGATTCTTTGATGAACTTGATAAAGAACTCTCTAAAACGAAATTTTTCAAGGAGTTATTATTTGTATAGCAATAACAATATTTTCCGAAATTTGGTGCTGAACAGTTAAATGAACAAATTCGATTGTGAACATATTCTCCACAATTTATTAAAACTGCACCACCCTCACCTGATGGTATTGATACATTCGTAAATGTGCTATCTTCCAATAGAAATTTAGAACGGCATACTACATGAAGTGCTCTATCTTTTAGATTTTCAAAGAAACAGTTTTTGATGCAATATCTTTTGTTATCTGAAAAATGATCCTTTTTTGCACTTATATACTCACCATCATAAAATTCATTATAATCTTGGTTAATTAAATGCGTGTTATATAAATTCCTTTTCCGAACATATGAAAGTATCTAAAGTAAATATACAAGAAAGACCTTGAACATGTATCACCACATTTTTTATTGGCAAACTCTCATAAATTAAGTTCAATTATATAACAGCTTTGAAGTAAAATAGTTCACCCAAAAGTTATTTAAAAATTTTAAAATATTTGAGATGACCTTTATCAAAATGTGCTTTTAAAACTGTAACCCCAATAAATTTTTTCCCCAGGATTTGTAAACTAATCCACTTTTTGAAACCTTAATTGAAAATAATTTTTAGTAATTATTTTAAAAAGTTGAAAATTACTGCTTTTAACTTTTTAAGACATTCTATTTTTTTTCACTTTTTTATGAAGTTTACAGAAAAATTTATAGAGGATTTTTTCAGACAACTGTGGTGGAACATTATTGAAGGAATATAGAATTCCAATCATTCTTCAAATAATTGAGCTTCGCTCAATTATTTGAAGAATGATGTTAATTTGTTTTATTTGTAACTTTGCATAAATTAGATCTGAATCTGACATTATACCACATTAAACCTTCACCTATATGTTTCTCGAGTTCTTGTATCTGATCCCAACCATGTGGAAAAGTATTTAGATGAATAGCAACAATATCATCTGCTGATTGAGGTTTTTTGAAGCATGTATGTGGATAGTTTTCTATATTGTTGCATTCTGGTATTGCATTCATGTTTATTGGTACTTGAACATCTAATGGATGTCCAACCATATGAGGAATATTGCAAGAACCTGGAGTTTCTCCAATATGCCAAATAAATTCATTAAATTCTACGTCATCAGCCCAAATGACCTTTTCAACTATCCATTGAACTCCGAATTCTGTGAATTTATATGCTGCTTTTCTGGAGAGAATCATTCCACTTCCACCTTGAATGAATGGGTTTGGATGTCCAACACAGCCTCCTAAAACAACTGTATCTCTGTCAGTATCCTATTTTGTATTCAATAAACTCACAAGTTTTCTTAGACGCGTGATACTTACGGAAACATCGTCATTGGATATCCATAACCATTTATACGATGTATTATAATAAAAATAATAAGCAGCTGATAGTTTTTTAGCTGCTCTTTCACTATTTTTATCTGTTTTGATCATATACTGTTCTACTATTCCTGAATGATTGTATGAAATATTTGGATTACCTTCAATGATATAACTATATCCAAAATCATATAGATGAAGGAATTGTAACCAATTTGTGAACTGGAACTTCCTTCTATGAACACTTGACATGATATTACCTGTCACAAGACCAAAGAATATTCCATTATTCGGACTTGCTGATGTATTGACACCAACAGATACTTCAAAGAAGGGGATTTCAATGGTGTTTACTAGCTTGACTCTGAGAATTACTGTAGGAACTAATAGAAGGATCTCTATAAAAGAAGATATCGAGAAACCTGAAACGCAAGACATTACTGCTGAACCAACTCTGAAATCTATATCATTCAAAAATTTGATTGAGAACACATATTCGATTTACAATTTTTTTAATACGCAATTAGTTTTCCAAATGATTGATTGTTAAGTGTAACAGATTCCGATAATTTGCAAAATTCGATAGAAAAGTAAATTCAGATAAATCAGTGAATATTATAATAAGGATGTGAATATTCGAAATATTCAGAAAAAATAACTTGCGGTAAGTCTTATGAATTGAAGATATTCAGAAAAAATAACTGGCGTGTCATCTTGGCTTTTGACATTTGAATGAGAATCATCGATATTTTTGAATATAAGCGGTGTAAAAGAAAGGTGATTGAGAAGATTAACCGATTTAATAAAGCTTAGAAGTGATTCCACCATAGTAGTATATGAGTGCGGGTTGTGTGACTTTTTTTGTTGCATCTATATATAGACGATGCATTAAAATATATTTATTTATAAATCATTAAAAAAATTAACATTAATTTTAAAATAATTTATTTTTTATCTTTTATAAAAGAAGCTATATATAGATGATGTCAGATATTCCGCGATTAATTAAACATTGTTTAAATCCTGAATGGGTTAAACTTCAATTTAAAAATGAAGATTGTGAATTATTAAATGAATATGAAAGCCAAAATAAGCTAATGAGGTATAAATATAATGATAAAGAATATTTAATTTCATGGAATCAATGGAGTCATAATCAAAGACCTCATAAACGAGAAGAAGAAATTGAAAATAATGAAATGGAAATCATTGATGACATTAAAGAGGATGGAATTCCTAAATTTTGTAGAAAAACCTTTAGAACTAAGTTAGGAGCATATAAACGTAGAGTATTAAATCCTGAATATCTTAAACATCAATTTAAAAAGGAAGACTGTGAATTATTAAACGTTAATGATTATGAAAATGCAAAATCAAAACTGAGATATAAATATATTGGAAGTGATGAAAGGTGTAAAGATAAAGATAAAGTTTATTCAGTTTCATATAATAACTGGCACACGTTGGGGATAAGAAAACATTTAGGAGATTATGGTAAAAGTTCCGAATTCTTCAAATCTAGTATGTACGAGAGAATAAAAGAAATCAGATATAATTATCATTCATGAATGAAAAATAAACTTTAAAAATTCATGTCTTACATTTTTTGAATAATTTATTTTTTTAATTCGTATGAAAATGAGTGTCAAAACTAACGACGTTAAAAAATTGGGATTCACAAACGAGGAAATAAAGGATATATTAGAGGAGGCGAGTTATGAAGTTAATAAATATTATTTAAGAAATTGTCAAAAATTCGCGGAGTTATTAAATGATTTAGATTATGATGGAAAAATGAATAAAGATGATGTTATAAATTTCTTATATCCCACATCTGAAGAAAAAACCTAAAGAACCTGATGTTTTCCCTGAATATTATGAAGAACGGATTAAAGATGATGAATATGATGAAATTGAAAGACTGGAAAAAATAAGAGACGAAATAGATGAAAAAATTAAGGAATTAAGAGAAGTTGAAAAATATAATGAGAATGAAGTAGAGGGTTTAATGAATATCCCAGCTTCAGAATCAGAAGTTCAAAAATCTCATGAAGAAAGATATAAAAATTACTTTTTGGAATCTACTAAAAATTTATTAGATGGTGAAATAGATGAAACACTTTCAGAAGAAGGCACAAAATTTATTCATAAACATAAGTTACAATTTATTGACGATGGAGATTATCCATGTATATTACTTTCACCTCCTCTTGATTCTGAAAAATTCAAAAAAAGCACTGAAAAATGTAACATATGCAACAAATACGATTAAGAAAGAAGACCATGATATTTACACAAATTATTATTTAAATAAATGTACAGGTGTTGATAAAGTTTTTGATTTGTTAGATAAAATATCAAAAGAAACAATTGGTACATATAAAATTTTATGCGATTGTGGTTTCATTATTGAAGATACCAATAATGTTTCATATGAAAGAACAGCACCGAAGGAAGATGAAGTTGAAAGGTCTATACCATTCGTTATTAAGAACATAAAAGATATGAAAACTTATAAACATTATATTTATTCATTTATTTCAGAAAAAATGGAAGCAACCCATAAAACATCATCTCATCATTTTATAGCTATTCATACATTCCTTTTCAAAGTTGTGAAATTAAATAAGACAGGAATTAGATTTAATGTATCAGGGTACGCATTCTTGAGTAAATTAAAATGTATTCGTCACGTCGCAGATGATAAAAATTTATGTGTTCTTAATTCATTTTATGGGCTTTAGCCCTGGACTTTAAAAAAATAAACTTTATTTTATTTATTTTTTAATTTTTTATTCTTACATAAATGAACAAAAACGGAACAGCTAAAATGAATGATAATCAAATAAGAGCCGAAGGTAGAAGGTTATTTAAACGCTTCTATAACATTCCTGATGGTTGTTAATCCTAAAACTCGTAGAAGTTATTTAAATGAAGCCATAGATGCATATGAAGGATTTGACATTTCATCAGAAAGTGAGAGGTTAGCAAGAATGTTAAACGTTAATATTGATTTTTATTATTGTGACCCTCAACCAGAAGACGTAGACATAAATAAGGTAGACTTTCCATTAGTGGAATCAATAATGATAGATCCAGAATTTGAAACAGTAAATATTTTATTAACACAGAGTCCATGTGGAAAACTTCACACTGACAGAATTACAGACGTTGAAGCACTCACAGGATATAAAGTTTGCCCCTTTTGCAAAGAAGAAGTATATTCTATCCGTGATGACCCAGAAAGGAAAAACCAAAGAAGATTTTAAAACATTGTGAGAAATGTAAAGAAAATAATGGAAGATTAATTCAAGACGTTCAATTGCAAAACACACAACAACCATATGCACCACATATTACGAAACAGAAGATATATCAATGGCTATTAGCTCACAATTTGCAGGAATATTATAAACCAACAAGATATTATATTACTTTTGACTTCGAAACATTAGAGACTAAAGAAGAACTTCAACTTTCTGAATGTGCAACTTTGAACGCTTACTTAAAACCATTTATGGTATCATCAACTGTCAAAATAAAGCCGCAAACGGACTCTTTGAGTCCTGAAGGTCTTTCAGACCGAAGCGGCGAGGTCGTAGACCGTGATAAAACATTTACGAGGAATTTTTGCTTAACATCAAGTGATTCGTTCATCTCTGATTGGATTGAATTTTTATTTTCAACCTGTTCATTAGTTGCTAAATCAAATATTGAACAATATGAAGAATTAATGAAGCCGCAAACGGACCAAACGGCGGGGACTTTGTCCCATACATTAAATGAAAAACAGAAGGAAGCATTTAAAGAACTTCTAGATGAGGAATTCAATAAAGTGAATATCATAGGTTTTAATTCGGGAAAGTTGATTTAAATTTAATTCTTCGTGATTTAAACACTGCAAAATGGAAAATAAAATCAATGCTGGGTTCTTCTTCTCAATTTAAGCAAATCATTGTAAAGAAAACAAACTGTCCATATGAATTAAGATTTATTGACATCAGAAATTATATAGCGGTGGAACATTAGACCAATTCACTCAAGATTTCGGAAACAATAAATCACGTGTTAAATCCTTTTTCCCTTATCAATTCATCACATGGGAGAATTACGAAGATGAATTATATAAAGTGGAACCATTCACGAAAGATTCATTTTATTCAGCATTAACTCAAGAAACAATATCCGATTCAGATTATCAAATATATCTCAATGATGCTAAAAATTTTGAGAATAGATTAGAATATTTTATTCATTATTGCAATAAAGATGTTGAAATTATGATTGACCCAATTGATAAAATTATTGAAGAAACATTTGTTTATAAAATTGACATGCTCCATAATCTTTCTTTATCATCGAATGCATCAATGATTCGTTACGCTTTAGCATATAAGAACTTCAATCCTAACGAAACATATCCAGAAGAAGAAAATGTGGAATCAAGTTTTGAATTAACAAAAAAGTATTGGAAATATAAAATTGAATCATATAAGAAACAAGATGAAAAAGCAGAAAGAGATACTAAAAATAATGTTTCAATGGATGATTTTCAATACTATCACGATTTAATCCTTTCATCTAAATGCAAAATGTGTGGTAAAGCTTACATATGCAAATAAACCAACATTAGATAGAATCGATAATGAAAAACCACATACTAAAGAAAATTGTCAGTTAATGTGTTGTTATTGCAATGTCGTAAAATCAAATAAAGATGAGGATGTTCAACGTTTAAGAATTAATTTAAGAAATTATACATTAAAAAATAATTTACCAATGACTTTAGATTCAGTTGAAGCTTATCACATTCTCCGTAATGGAATTACTGGTGGTTTATCAAATGTTCAACATAGAGTAAATCTTAAAGGAATCACGCACATTAATAAACTTTCATATAATCCAGAAACTAAAACTGTATCAAATGAGGACACCACCAACATTATGACTCATTTGTTGGAGTTGACTTTAATTCATTATATCCTTCATCATTTTCATCTAATCCTCATGATTTCATTCAATATACTGACCATAAAATGTATATGCCGGGAAGATTGAATGGTGTTATCATTTGTGATACAGCAACAAAGAAAGCAAAAGCACTGGGAATTATTAAGAAGAAAAATACTTTATTCGTGGCTGAAGTAAAGGGTCACATTGATGAAAAATACATTAATGATTACATAAACTTTTTACCGATAATAAGAAACTTAGATATTATCACAGATGAAAAAACAATTGGCAGTTTTATGTATAATTACATGAAATCAAACAATCTACCAGTTGACCAGAAACAAAGAAAATTAACTCAGTTAGCATCAACACACAACCAATATCAACCATTTTCTTCTTATTATCTTTGGTATCTAATAGACAGATTTCATTTTATCATTGATGACATTCAATCAATTTTAACATTTACGAAAAACACTTGTTTTAATGAATTTGCGAACGAATTTATGAATGAAAGACAAAAGGCTGAATTAGAAGGAAATAAAGGAAAAAGTTTATTTTGCAAGATTTCACTTAATGGATCATATGGTTACGATGCAATGAATACACAAAATTACGCAAAGACTAAAATAATGAATGCACAGAAGGCACGCGTTGCATGTATGTCAAATAAGTTTAAAAACATAAGAGAAATAGGTGAAGATACGTATCAAGTGATGCTTAAAGATAGATTTTATAGATGATACATGTTTACAAGAGGCATTCTTCACTTTAGATAACGCAAAATACTGGTATTTGGTTTTCATTTATGATTTTATGTATAAATGCATGAATGTTAATCGTTTTCATTTCATTGAAGGTGATACTGATTCATCTTATTGGGCTATTGCTGGCGACCCAAATCTTCCTAACACTCAAGCATTTCAAGCAATTGTTACCGATAAAAAATTTTATGATAAAAACATTTACAAATTCGCACCTTTTGATTTCTTTTGTTTTAATGAGAAATTTAAACCTAAAATTAAAGAATAAAGCTGAAGAAAAAGCACATGAGAAGAAGTTATTGGGTTTAGCAATTGAGAAACAAGGTGATAACATGGTTGCTTTATGTCCTAAGTGTTATACTTCATTCAACGGTTCAATTGATGAAGTGATTTTAAAAAGATTGCACAAAAAATGAAAGGAGTTAGTTTACGACAAAATAAACAATTACACACTAAAAATTATTTGGATATAATAAATGATAAAGTTATTTTCGATGGTCAGAATATTAAATTTACAACTTAAAAAACGGGTCAATGACTCGCTTAACAATCGGTAAGACTGCATTAACAGGAGCACACCACTAAGGCTGTATGTTGTGAAAATGGATGTTGTATGCCATTTATTTAATAAAAATGCCACAGAAGAGACAAAAAGGAACCGTTAATGATGGTTTTTGATACTATGATTCAAGAGGTGGGCACCCTTAAAACATTTATTTTATTTTTATATAAATGGATAACACAGATTTAAAAAGTTTAATTGATGATTTTAGTACTAATCAAAATTTCTTAATTATTATGAATTAAAATCATAATCTCCAAAAACATGATAACAATATAACGGGTGATGATATGGATTATTATTATTCGTATTATAAAAATGAAGTTTTGAAATATCATGATAAAATAATTTCTAAAATTAAAGACAAAATTAAAATAATGAATATTCAAAGGAAAAAGTAAATCACAACTTAAACAATTGAAAGATTTCAAAAATAAAGTATTAACAGAAGAAGATATTGATGAATTATATTAATTATATAAATCCTGAGCCGCAAAAGCAAAAGCAAAAGGAGCAAAAACAAAAGGCAAAACACCCAGGTCCTTCAGACCATAAATGATGCACAAGTTTTAATTTATGATTCATTAGTTAACCATATTCAGCCCGACTTTTAAATGAAGATCAACTTTTGGAATTCATCCTTCAACATAAACTCGAAGCGGGAAAGTATATTAAACCTTTATATACAGCAATATTTAAAAACAAATGAATAGAATACATCCAGAATTAATGAAGGAAGGAATGAATTCCAAAACTTCATCATCCAAAATCAAAGCAGATAAAATTAAACCACTTGCAACACCAAAACTCCAACGACAGTACCACCTCCTCCTTCAGTTAATCCTTCATCATTCACTTTATTATATCCATTATCAAACATTAAAGAAACAAAAAGATTTTAAAAAGGATTTCAAAATATTAAATAAACCAATTGACCCAAAAATTCAACCGTTAAAGGAAAAAATTTAGTCGCCCTTCATTTGCACCATATCCATATTCATACGAAATCGATCATTTAGAATATTCAAGAGGAAACGTTACTTATTTATTTGCCATTAACATTAACACTAGATATTTATATTGCATTCCAGTGAAAGGGAAAACAGAACAGGAAAAAGAAGAGCTATTCAATACTTACTAGATCATGAAAGAGTAGATAATATAAGGGGTGATGGTGATAAAGATTTCAGGCAGCTATGACTCATTATTTCCCACAAATTAATTTTTACTTCTATCCTCTCCATATACATTTCATAATAAAATAGTTGATGCGGTAATGAGAACTCTTAGAGATGCGTTAGGGGTTAACGGTCAGATATACTGGGATGGAAATCATGACTCCATCATACAACAGTTAGTATATTATTACAATAATAACATGGCATAGAACAATAAACATGAAACCAGTGAAATGAAAAATGATATTTCAAAAGAATGGGAATATATTAGAAAGCAAATGGAAAGGTTGAATGATGTTAAACGTGAACAAATTAATTCAGGGCTCGAATTTTAAACAAGGAAATAAAGTTTAATTCATCTCGATTATGGAAAAAACTGATAAATTAATGACAAAAAAGAAGACGAAGATTTGACACAATAGCTGAATTTGTTAGATATATTAACGGCAATGCATTAGTTGAGGTTAACAATAAATTAATAGAAATTCCGATTTATTTTATTACTCCATTATATTTAAATAATATTTAATTTTTTTATTTCGTAAGAAATGAGTGACAACGAAGCAGTCAAGAGTCCAGACGATGAATATAAAAAGAAACTAAACAGAATTAAATCAAAAATATGCTATTACAAAAAAGCCACAATGCGGTGGGGTTGAAAACGATAAAGAAATAATCGAAAAATTAGAAACTTATCGTTCAATCCTTACTGAGTGAAGCAAAAATAAAAGAATTTAATAGAATAAATAAATTGATTGGAAGAGATGAATTTAATAAAGATGAATTTTTAAACTCTATCCAAATTTAATTTTTATTCCTCTTCGACAACATCTCTCTTTCCATCATTACTGCATAACCACATTTTCTCAATTTTAGTGGTTTGTTATTTTTAACATGTTCTTTCACCATTTTTATCATTTCCTCCCTTGTTATGATTCGTGGTAAATTTTGAGCTTGTGGGGTATTCATTTATGATAAAAATAAAAATTTAAATTATGCCGTTCTAAAGTTTGTGACAACAGTCACTGTGTGACGAGACCTGAAGGTCATGACATTTTGACAACAACACAGGAGGAAGGTAATAATTAATTATTTTTGAATAACCGAAGGTGCTACCATGTTACCATGTGCTACCAGGTAATTTAACTTCTATGAAAAAGTGTGACAACAGTCACTGTGTGACGAGACCTGAAGGTCATGACATTTTGACAACAACACAGGAGGAAGGTAATAATTAATTATTTTTGAATAACCGAAGGTGCTACCATGTTACCATGTGCTACCAGGTAATTTAACTTCTATGAAAAAGTGTGACAACATGACATTTTGACAACAACATAGGAAAATATGATGCAGTCCAAAAATAAAGTTAGTTTTAAAATTGTTTTTATTTTTTATTCCTATATAAATGACAGCAACAAACAACAGCAACAACTATATCGTTTCTGATGAAAATATCATTGATTCATTAGCTGAGGAATTAGTTGTGGCAGAAACTAAAACCCTCAACGAAAGAATTGGTGAAAACAAGATTGATTTACATAACTACCTCAAACATGATGGAGGAAGAGGAAGGAAAACTGGTATGGCTTTATTAGTAAATAAAATTTCAAATTTAACGATTATAGATGTTGATATCAATAAATCGTACAATGATGAACTTAAAGAAACAGTTAGAAAAGACATTTTATCAAAACTTTCGGATAAAGATGTTATCGTTAAAACCGCATCAGGAGGTCTTCACATTTATTGCAACACTAATTTCTTCTATTCAGTTTCGAACAGAATGATTAAATGTTATTCCTGCAATGATTATGATATTGACATAATGACTTCTATGGATGATTCAAAGCGTTCTTTAGTAGTTATGGCTGATTCAAGAGTTCGCAAGAATGCAACAGAACCAATCAATACATACTCATTCATTCGTGGAAGTTATGATTCAACATTAACTAGAACAGTGAATGATATATTAAATGATTTGAATATTAAGGTAAGAGTTGAACAGAAGAATGAAGAAATAAAGACTATCATGAATGAAAACAAAGATGTAAACATTGACGATAAACTAGCTCAGAGCATAGTTGATGGCATCTGTGATTTTGAAGTACATAATGACGGTGGAAACATGAATTTAGAAAAAGAAATAACATTATTCACACTGTTTCAAGCTATTAATTCGTTACCGGATCATTTAATTAATGAAGCATACGATAACGTTTATAACTTCTGCAATTTAACTGAAAATGCTAAAAGTAATTTTGAAAAAGCACGTAATAGATATGCACATTTAATGACTTCTCCATTTGTTTTAGTGAAGATTCTAAAACTATACCAAAAGGAATATTATGATGAATACGTTTTACCTTTATTACGTAAGCCAAAAATAACATTTGATATCAAACTTGATGACTCGTTTTTGATAACAGATATTAGACGCAAGGCTGAAAATCATCAGTATAAAAACAGTTCTGAAGTAATTGAGGATTTATCACGTGTAATCCGTTTTGTAGATTGTGGAAATAAATATTTCATTCAAAAGGACTATAATATCCACGACAAAATGAATCAAATATCATTCGTTCTTCAATCAAACATGAAAGAGTCACTCAAAATGATTAAATTATTTAAAGAAGAAGGTAAAACCATAACAGCATGGGATGTACTACTAAATCAATTATCCTCATTAACCGTTAAGGGTGTTTGCTTTAAATCTGATTCCCCAGATGTTTTCTCAACGTTTCAAGGTTATAAATACAACGTTCTCGAAAAACCAGATTACTCAAAAATTGAGATGTTAATGAATTTCATTAAAGAAGCCATTTGTGATAATAACGATGAAGTGTATAAATACCTTCTCGGCTGGATTGCATCAATGATTCAACATCCTGGAATCAAGAATGAAACAGCAATTATTTTGAAAGGACTTCAGGGAACAGGTAAAAACAGATTTACAGACATTATTTCTGAACTCCTCGCTGGTTATTCATGTAAAAACATTACCGAAATAAGTGAGCTAACGGGTAATTTCAATTCAGTAGTTGAAAATAAAATGCTTCTTATACTTAATGAACTCAAGAATGTGGGTGAAGATAGACTCGCAAACTTCAACGCTTTGAAATCAATTATTACGGATAATGAGATTAGAATTAATGAAAAGAATCAACCCAGAAGAACAGCACAGAACGTTGCAAACTTCATTTTCGTAACTAACAACGTTTACCCTGTCAAAATTGAAGTTGGAGACAGAAGATACGTAGTTTTAAGAGTTAATGGTAAATTTAAGGGTCAATTTGATTATTTCAAGAATTTAATGGATTCATGCACTAAGGAATTTTATGATAACCTTTTAACATATTTTATGCAATATGACCTTTCATCATTTAATGTACGAATCATTCCGATGACTGAAGCCAAACAAGATTTAATAGAATTATCATCAAATCCTTTAGATGTATGGATAAATACACATTATGATGAATTGTGTGCAGGTATGACGTGTGAAAATGCTCTATTCTGCAAACCATCAGACATGAAAGACAAAAACTTTCAAATGAGTATTAAGGATAAATGTGATAGGAAACATAGAAGAATAGACGGTAAACAGACATGGTATTATGTTTTGAAAGAAGAAATGAAAGGATTATATAAACAGGTTGAACCAAACGATAATGAGGATTCATTTACTGACGATGAAATACCTGTAAATGAGCCGCTAAGCGGCGAGACCTGAAGGTCTAGCTTTATAAAGTATGATTGGAATTTATTTTTGCATTAATCCTGCTGTGTTGTCAAAATGTCATGTTGTCACACTTTTTCATAGAAGTTAAATTACCTGGTAGCACATGGTAACATGGTAGCACCTTCGGTTATTCAAAAATAATTAATTATTACCTTCCTCCTGTGTTGTTGTCAAAATGTCATGTTGTCACACTTTTTCATAGAAGTTAAATTACCTGGTAGCACATGGTAACATGGTAGCACCTTCGGTTATTCAAAAATAATTAATTATTGAATAACCCGAAACATTAATGATAACACATATTTCTGGTCGTTAATGACAAAAATAAATGGTTCATTTACTCACAATATTTTTGTACAAAACAACCCCAAACTTTTAACTTCTTTTCTGCAGCTTCAAATGCTATCTTAGCGAGTTCATATTCTCTAAATTCTCTCTTTAAATCTTCTTGTTCCCATTGGTCTAGTTCGTATGGAGAATCTCTATAACCATAACATATCTCACGTTCATGTTCTAATTGTTTTTCACAACATTTTTCCAACTTCTTCTTCGAACAAAGTTTAGCATTCTCCACTGTATCTTCGAGTTCTTCTTCATCTAACTTCTCATGAACTTTCTTGTCTATGGAGTCCATAATATCTTTGACATAAAATGCATACTTTACAGAGCACCATTCAGCAACAAAATGAACGAGGTCAGCATGTATGTAAATACCTTTGAATTCATTCATAACGCCCTTAGTAAGCTCATAAAATGCTTGTTTTGAGGTTGAGCCACTTTTGGCTCGACCGTATTCTTTCAACCAAAACTCAAGAATTTCCTGCATTTTAGCACTATTGAGAAATCTGTTTAAATGGTTTAACTTTCCTGCTTCTCTTGCCATCTTGTTGCATTAATGTAACCATCCTTGTCTCTACGTAAGACTTCAATACCATTATAAGTGCCTTTTGTGAATGTTTCGCCATTAGATTTGTTCGTGAACGTCTGTGCTTCGACCGACATTACTGTTCTTACATACAAAATAAAAAAATAAATAAAAATAATTTTAAAACTAATGAAATTAATTATTTTTGGACTGAATTCATTGAACTCTATACCATGCGAATACAGTCATAAATGGTGGCATGTATTCTTTACTTTGTCCCGTTGTTTGTGTATATCCTGAAACGCGATGTGTATGGTTTCCTTCTCCCTGAGTGTCACTCCAGTAACAATTTATGGCAAATTTAACATCATCTTTAACATCATATCCTTTACCTTTTGTCATTCCTGACCAATCCCAATATCTATGCTTATGCCAACCTGCTTGAGATGTGCTTAAATCTATGTAGTGACTGTGTGCAGGTAAATTTTCACCTGTAATCGTTTTACTTCCCCCTGTTTCCTTTGAAGAGTTTGCACAATACAAAAACCTGTCGACTATTTGTTCCCATGCACCAACACCAAACATTGCTTGAGGACCTCTCACATCCATAGATGTATAAATAGAACCTACTGGGTTCATTAAATCAAACATATGAGATATTATAGGATTGTCTCTTTTGAACTTAAAATATAGTGTAACTATTTCGGGTTTCTTCTGGTTTGTGTCAGAATATTGTTTATAATATAATCTTATGTTTTCAGGGTATGTAAAATCTTGACTATAATATTTATTTTTGTCATCTTCATAATAGTATACTATTCTCGTTTTTCTATTGCATTATATCTTTTATATCTATAATATTCTAAATATAATGTTTGCTTTTTTGGGTCTACATGTGCGTCAACACCATAGTCATAATAATACGGTGCTGGAGCTACGTTAGACAATGTCATATCTGTCATATCCGTCATTTCATAAACTCTTAAATATTTCTTTTGTTCGTCTCCATATAAGTTTAAGTAGCAGTTGTTGTCTAATGGAACTTTAACTTGTGTACCATTATTCTTTATATAGCCTACATACATTTCATTGTTATTTTCGGAATGAGTATACCGTATACCATTTCTTAAGGACTGTACAAACCCCCATCTAAAATATTTGTTTTCTTCATTGACAGAAAAGTCACCAACAATAGTTTCAATATTTTTTGTTCCTATCAAACTTTGGTATATTTCGTTAACATATTCCTTATCTGCTTTCTTTGCTAACTCATCGTTAACATATTCCTTATCTGCTTTCTTTGCTAACTCATCGTTAACATATTCCTTATCTGCCTTCTTCCCTAACTCATCGTTAACATATTCCTTATCTGCTTTCTTTGCTAACTCATCGTTAACATATTCCTTATCTGCTTTCTTCCCTAACTCATCGTTAACATATTCCTTATCTGCTTTCTTTGCTAACTCATCGTTAACATATTCCTTATCTGCTTTCTTCATTATGTCATTTAGGAAACCTTTTATGAATTCCTCATTTAAATTAAATCTTCCAATCTTCAAAACTTTAGGAAATGCATTTAATGCGTAATATCTTTGTTCTTCTGGTGGAATTGATGTTATATCATCCGTTATTCCTTTAATTTTTGAATTCATAAATAAAATTTCTTTTATATTTGATATCACTGCACCACCTTTGCAAACGAATTCAAAATGGTCATTTTTCAATACTATCTCCAAATCTCCATATTTCAACATTTGCGTTTGTTCTGCCGTCTTTGAATTATATGCATATGTGGCGTATGTAATGGTCTGTGGTTGTTGTTTAATCATTTTATTACGATTTAAAAATAAATATTTAATCTGTTATCTCATCAGCTATTTTTTCTATTTGAAATTGCCATAATATTTCATTCATAAATTCTAAATCACAATCAAATAGGTCAGTTATTCTAAATTTAATATTTGATAAATCTTTTGAATGAAGAATAAATGAATTCCCAGATAATTGAAACGGATATGATAAAGAAAATATGTTTAAGTTGATGGATAAAATGTTTTGTATTGATGGGTAAGAGTTAGGGTCTAATGTTTGATGTGAAAATCTCATTGGGGTATTAACTTTATCACATTTGATTAAAATGAAATTAGAACCAGTGTCAGAATACAAAACATCCCCAACATCTTTTTCAAAATTTAATATCCCCAACAATGAACGAAGATGAGGAGTACAAAATTTAATTTTCAGCGGAAATTTAATAAGGTTATTTATTTCATCAAGTTCAAAAAGTTTATCAGGTTTTGATTTAAAATTTTCTTCATACCATACGATAAATGATTCATTTAAATAACTTAAAATTGTGTTAATATCCCCCCTCACTATCACATTATTTATATACATATCATACGTTTTTAGGTCTACGACCCCGCCGCTATGCGGCTCAAGGTCATCTTTAATAAATGATATATAATCTGAAGGGTCTAAAAGAATGGGATTAAATTTACCACTCACAGAAACGAGAGTAACATTATAAATTCCGCTAACTGTTAAATTTAATTCACAGTTATTATTCGAAATAATATTGATAATTGACATTTTTTATTACGATTAAAAATATGGTAAAGCGTTATTTTCCAGTGATAAATAAAACTAGAATAAGATTACCTCAAGAATTCATAAATTCAACGAATAAGAAATTCATTCATGTTATAAATTTTAGTGTTTTCAGAAAATATGAGTCAATGTCATATTCATCATCAGGTTATATTTCACTTCATTCAAATTTAGTTCAATCAAACCCATATAATGACCATTTCATAAGATTTTCAGATGGTATTAAAAATGCAATTGATAGATTAAAATATGAACAGATTGACAATATCGAATTTTTGGAATTTTGGTTTAAATATCCTGATGGAAAAAAGATTGAAGTTAAAGATAAAGCTGATACTATAACAAAAACAATTACAATGACCGATCCAGATAGTGGGGAACAAAAAGAAATAAAACAAACGATAGAAACTGGTGAAAGGTCAATTATTATTGATTATGATTCAAAGGATTATTATTCGATAATGTTAATGCTTGAATATTAAATAGCCTTAACAAAGAATTTTTCAAGTGATATTTTATATTCATCAACTATTTTATTATAAATATCATTATATGTTAAATGAAGTTCAGTTGTTGTTCCGTTCTTTGATATCTTAATTGTGCTAATATCCTTTATAGGATTTATTTTTGCAACTGTTCCGCAGCATGAAACCTCATCATCTATGAAAAATTGAATCTTCACGTCTGAATCTTGAACATCACAAAGAATGGCGATAATGTGAATTAATGATTCATAAGGTAAAATAATTAAACCTGATTGGTCAATTAAATTTATTATTGAATCATAATTATCAGTTATTATATCACGGTAAATTTTCATTAATTCAGAATTAATGTCTATTTTATATGGCGCATTGCGACTGTAATCGTAGATTCCTGGGTTATCAAGTGGTGCTGGGTATGTTGGATAAGTGGGAATTTCAACAGGTTCTTTACCAGGTTCAGATAAAATGATTGGGTCTCCATCTTCTTTATTTTGCTCTTCCTCATTCTTCGGTAAGTCACGAGTTAATAAATTTGGTTGAGTTGCTGACCTTGTTAATTCAGGACTAACATTAACTTTAACATTTTGAATAATTCGTGATTTATCATCATTTACGTTATAACCAACCGTAATCTCTGCTTTTGCGTTAGTGTTCTTTTGACTAGTGAAACGTCTTCTCATTTATATTCGAATAAAAAAATATATTTAAACTTTTATTTTGCTGGAACTTTTGAATCTATTATTTCCTGTATTTGTTCATGAAGTTGATTTTTAGCATTTTCATCGAAATTAATAGACCGAATATATTCATTAATTGCATTCTTATAATCATTTGATTTCTCAAATTTTCTTTTATCTGATTCCTTAACTAAATCATAAGTTAAACCTCGTTGCTGATATAATGGTTTCTTAATTAAATCTTTGAATGCTTGAGATAAAGCACCTGATGCAATTCTTGCTACTATAATTGGTTGGAATTGCTGTTTAAGTTCATCTTTAACATTTGCGAAAACTGGATCGAATAAAGCAACTTTAAAGAATTTCTTAGCTGGAATTTCAGATCTCAAATTTGCATATTGACCATCAAACTGGTTAGAATATCGTGGTAATCCATCCGGTCCCTCTTCAATAGCATTTAATTCTTCATTGAAGTAAGAATATGGATTATGACGGTATGAATTAATTGGACCATTTTCACCTTCTCCAATGTATTGTTTAACAGCTTTTCCATTTTCATCAAATTGCATAGGATAATGTTCATTATATGCTTTACGTTTAGGATAATCCGTCATTGTTAATTTATACCCATTTATGACTTTAATATTTCCTTGACCATCAGTAACAAAGACTTCATTTATTCCATCAGGTTTTCCATTTGGACCCGTAATGTCTGCTTCGTGTGCTTCCCAATTTGGTCCGTGACGTTTGGCATATGCTTGAGCTTCTGGTAATGTTAAAACGTTTCTCATTTGTTTAACATCCTTTTGAAGACCGGCAACAATGTGGACTAATTCTTTCATTCCGTCTGGAACTTTCATAGTTCTATTATATGCACCCTTTTTGTTTGTTCCTTGTTTTAATGGAACCTGTAGAAGATTTGCTATTTCTGTCATGTTTAATTATAAATAAAAAATAAAAATTAATTATAAAAAGTTATTCGAATTTAATGGAACCTTTATTTAAATCAACTATTATTTTTCCATGTTCTCCTAATTGTTGATATTGTGTGTAAAGTTCATTAATGCTCATTGGTAAATTCACTTGATAAAGCATAACGTTCAACTGTTGACGACTAAAACCACTGAAAATGAAAAGGGTGGACATGTTTGATTTAATGTTTGTGCTTAATGCTTTAAAGTATTGAACAGCCATGAAGAATGAACACTGAATGTGTCGACATTGAGTTAATAACTGATTAAAATATGATTTCTCATTTGTTATTAGTTTTGATTTCACTGCATCATCTAGAAAAATGAGTGAATGCAAAAATTCTCTATCAAAATTTGAAATAGAAAGTGTTTCAAATAATTCATCTCGTTGTTTATCAATAATTTTATCCTCTAATCCTTGCTTCTTGATTGTATTATATAATTCTTTATACATTAAAAAGTTTTTTAAATAATCTTCTGCTTCTTCTTGTGATAAATAAATAATTGGAATTTTGATTAAATGCTTTAAAGATTCAAATGTATCATCTGAAGGTGAACCTGAACGGTTGATATAAATTAACACATGTGAATGGGGAAGTGTTAGCAATAATGATAATTTGTTTTAATATCGTTAATGTTTTACCTTTATTTTGTTTACCAATTGCTGCAGTGATTGAATTTAAGTAACATTCAGAATATGGAATTTTCATTAATTTTTCCTTAGATAGAGCATTTCTATTATCACTCAATGCTTCATTAATCATATCATCTACGTATGTATTATATACTCCTGCTAATTCTTCATAAGGGGTGGATGAATTTAAATCCATTTAATCAAAAATAAATTTATAATTTTATACATTTCTATTCATCAATATTTCATCATATGAACTTCTATACTGCGGTGGTGTACCTGTTGGATGATATTTCAAACCTTCATCCGGTGTCCATGTCCAATATGTAGTCCTAGTAAACCAAACCTGAGGAGGATTTGTCACTTTGAACAGTAAGTGTCATTTACACCCTGAATGATTGGATAAGCTTTCACTTGTACTGTAACTTGTGAGTTGAAAGTTTCTAATCCATCAAAGAATATACCCGCTCCATCACGTTGAACTGGAATAGTGCATAAGAATGAAGTTTGGTCTTTCCATGTTCTAGCTAATGGTGTGCCATCATCATCATTCAGTGGTCTAGTTAATGAGTCCTCGTATTCTTCCGTGCATTCATTCACTCCATCTAAATCAGAAGCTTGAAGCATACGTGTAAAGAATATGTCGCCCACTGTGGTCATCGCTTGATCGGGGAAGTTTCTGGAATCTATAGTGACCTGAAGACCTCGAAGCATTGGATTTTCTAAAACTGTTCTTTGCATTGCATTCTTCGGAAATGCTAACACAACATCTGTAACATTATGAAGAGCGTATGAGAAATCTGAGCTGATACCTTCAGGAGTGATGCAACCTCCATTTAGTGAACGAACGTCAATATGTTGAGCTGGAATCATGAATGGATCTTCCTTACTAAATAAACGTGGTATTGCTTTAACTGATTCTTCAATTAAACCGTATCCTGGTGTAATGCATTTATCCTCTAAAACTTCCATCTTTGTGCATGAAATAATAACGTCTTCAACTGTTGCGTCAGCAGATGTAGCGGCTAAGCCTGTAATTAATTTTGCAGGAAGTCCGATTTGTTGGAATTTGCGATCATATTTATAAACATGATTCATAATCTTTTCATAATTTTCATCAGTTATCTTTTCATAAACGTAATTTTGTAAATCAGCAACTCTTAACGGGTCAACCTGACAAAATACTAAAGTATCCCTGAAAACATAATATTTAAGAATGATTTCACCAAATGATTTAGGATAATCATCGAACGCCTGAAATGCTAACAAATCATTTACCGGAATAATCATATCAAAAGTGACATCAACTTCTTCATTTGCTTTCTTGAAAACTTCTGAGGGTCAATATATTTACCACATACTGAGTTATCATATTTTTGAACATTATTATATAACGAATGAACAAACTTTTTAACTTTCCTTTCTGATTTTGGTTTATATGTTGCAAATGCGAAAGATTCACGGGCGCAATCCATCTGAAGATAACCGGCATCACCTCTTTCGGTTTCTACTTCTAATTGTTTAAAGCTTTGATTTGATGATTTGTAACCAACGAATAAACGCATGCATTTAAAAGCGGCATCACATGTGAAAGCTTTATTTGAAACTAGAGTTGCTTTAACTTTGCGTTTAATATATGTGTCACCTAATTGGTTCACATCATGAGCCGGATTTGTAATTCTTAAATGAGTTTGTTTATCATCAAAATATGGAGCATCAGAGTCATAGCATGAACTTTCAAGTTCTCTATAATATCTTCTACCGTCATTCTTTGCGAATATTTCATTTATCTTTTCGAATGAATGAAATACATTTCCATTAATTGGTTTAGTGTTTGGCACTAAATAGTTAGTCGTCATTTATTATTAAATAAAAAATCAAAATTAAAAGATGAAAATGAATTTTTAATTTTAATGAAATAATCAACTATGGCTGCAGGATTCTTTAAGAAACTGTGGGATAAAGTAAAAAGAGGAGCGCATAAAGTTTGGGAAACAATGAAGAAAGGAGCAAATTGGATATTTAAGAATAAAGAAGCAATTAGTGACGTTGCTGAATCAATAACGCCAAAAGCTGCCCCAATAAGAGAAATTTTAAATAAAGGAGAAAAAGTTTATCAAAGACTTCAACCGATACTAAGATAAAAATAATATTTATTTATTTTTCCACTAACCACCTCCTATTTTATTAAGTATTCCTTCAGCTATTCCACCAATTGCGTTACCTGCTTGTGCTCCCATCGCCGGATTACCTGCTTTAGTACCTAATACTCCACCTATGATAGTTCCTGCCGTTTTCGCTACTGGTGCCAAAAAGTTAGCAACAGGTTTAATAACCTTTTTATAAACCCAACCTGCAGCTTTCTTAATTCCATCCCATAATTTTTTAAAGAATCCTGCCGCCATTTCTGATTTAATATTAATTAAAAAATATATTTCATCACTTATATTCTAATTTTTATTTAATGATAAATGAAACCGATTTTAAAAATAAATGAAACAAAGGAGGAAGAAATAAATGAAAGTGAAAATGTTCAACAAAAAATAAACGTTGTTAAACCAATTACTGAAATAAAAATTTTTTCATCTGTTGAAGAATTTAATGACTATTATGCTAATAATAAAAAATTATTTGAAGAATTGACAACATGTAAATTGAATAAAATGTTTAAAGTTGAGGACAGAGTCCAAGACCCAGAGGGTCATGGATTCAAAATTTCAAAAATAAAAGGTGTTGTTAGTTTAAAATCTATTCCTCAATCAAGAATCACCTCATTAATGAAAATTGATGATTTAACAAAAAGAATAGAAATTATTGAAGAGCGAATAAATCAAATTATTGCTTTCATAAATCATGACTCGTTGAGCCTGGGTCCTTAAAGCCCAAGGCACAAAGTGCCCAGGACTTAAAGTCCATCACTGAGTTCAAGGTTATATTCATCAAATATTTCATTATTAAATGCAACTTCTGCTAGTTTATTTATTTTTTCAATACGATCATTTGAAAGTCTATCGTTTAATTTTTTCTGAAGTTTTTCATTTTCTAGTTCTGAAACTTTATTTGGATGATATTTAAACCCGTTAAATTCTTTTTCCTCAGTTTTGATCATTAATTTACAAAGAACTTTTGTGGTTGGAATTCGTTTAAACCATTTATCATTAATATTTGTTATAAATTCAATATCTGGAATTAATTCCCAAATTTTTGCATTTTCAATTAATTTATTATCAAATGCAAAAGCAATAGGTTTAATATTAAACTTACCTTTATAATATATACTTTCTACATAATCATCGAAATAAACATCTACTTGTTTAACATTTTCAAGAATTGGTGAAAGAACATCCATTAATTGATTGACGGTTACGAATCTTGATCCACTCATTTTCATACGAATTAAAAAAATAAATTATTCAAAAAATGTAAGACATGAATTTTTAAAGTTTATTTTTCATTCATGAATGATAATTATATCTGATTTCTTTTATTCTCTCGTACATACTAGATTTGAAGAATTCGGAACTTTTACCATAATCTCCTAAATGTTTTCTTATCCCCAACGTGTGCCAGTTATTATATGAAACTGAATAAACTTTATCTTTATCTTTACACCTTTCATCACTTCCAATATATTTATATCTCAGTTTTGATTTTGCATTTTCATAATCATTAACGTTTAATAATTCACAGTCTTCCTTTTTAAATTGATGTTTAAGATATTCAGGATTTAATACTCTACGTTTATATGCTCCTAACTTAGTTCTAAAGGTTTTTCTACAAAATTTAGGAATTCCATCCTCTTTAATGTCATCAATGATTTCCATTTCATTATTTTCAATTTCTTCTTCTCGTTTATGAGGTCTTTGATTATGACTCCATTGATTCCATGAAATTAAATATTCTTTATCATTATATTTATACCTCATTAGCTTATTTTGGCTTTCATATTCATTTAATAATTCACAATCTTCATTTTTAAATTGAAGTTTAACCCATTCAGGATTTAAACAATGTTTAATTAATCGCGGAATATCTGACATCATCTATATATAGCTTCTTTTATAAAAGATAAAAAATAAATTATTTTAAAATTAATGTTAATTTTTTTAATGATTTATAAATAAATATATTTTAATGCATCGTCTATATATAGATGCAACAAAAAAAGTCACACAACCCGCACTCATATACTACTCACCATGACCCTCATTCATGGGGGTTAGAATTCATACTACAAATGCAGTGTCCAATAGCAATGTTATCCCTTATATTAGTTTAAAATTCTATAACTTTTTGGTCTCAATTGTATTCGAAATGAAAATGAAATATGATTTTATCTAGTATTTTTTATGATATAACAATAGTTGTCAAAAATTATAAATAAATATCTATTAAATAAATTGGAATAGAAGAATTCAAAAATAAATTTTGAATATCAAGGAGATATAGTTAATTTTAAGAAAGATGATAAGGAAAGGAAGATATATTTATCAAGTGTATATCAAATTTAGGCCAATAAATTTGATAATTTTGATTTTATAAAATCATTGAAAATCGAGTAGATTTGTGTTATACATAGCTGAGAATTTTCCTATTCGATATAAAATCAAATAGGATTAAAAATTATTGGAAAAAGGAATATAATTGCACTTATGAACAAGCATTACATATCATATAAATCTTAACAACACATGAATATTCATATAATCTTTTAACTTCCAGAAAATCTTCCAAAAATGAATTTTTTCTCTTCCAAATTTATGCTGTGCTTCCAAATTTGCAACCCTATGGATTGTATTTAATTCGTATGTACATTCTATTTCATCAAAAAAAATTACCCTTTTCTCTCATATTTTTGGTAGAAGCACTTTTTAAAGCCTTGATTTTTCCAGCATGTAAACCTCGATGTCACTTTTGCGGCGTCGCTCCTAAAACTACCGTGTCGTTGCGTGCTGGAGCACCTGTAAATTTTTTTGATTTCTAAAATAAACTTTACATTTGTAAACGCTTTACAACATGTAAAGTCCTCAAATTTGAATGTGATATTGTCAAAATTTCGTATTACGAATGATTTAACCTACCTTTGCATACAAATCTACAATAGGATATGCATTTTATTTCATTCCTCAAAGCATTTAAAAAAAAAGTAAAAATTGAGACATTTTTATACATATAACTAATAACTTTACTATATAATAATAACTATTTTTTCTTAAACATTTTGATTACATCAATAACTGCAATATACGTGGAAACTCCACCGCATGCAATTCCAAAAATGCCAAACAGTGATGCAAAGACATTCTTGTAGTACGTGAATTTCTGGTCTGATGCTCTGATATACATCAAAGCCGGGAAACTGAAATTGACAATGCAACCTCCGATCGCACCACCAATTCCAACAACAGGCTTAATATCTGTAAGGAACATGGGTAAAACAAGAGGGAAGAAGCGATTTAATAACAAAACAACTGCTCTCTTCTTGTTTTCTAGGACTGTATGTGAAGGTGCGTCGTAAATTAAAGCGGAAATTATGGATAAACTTGTCTGAGATATCAATGGGAACGTAAATGACACAATAAAGAAGAATACACCTCTTGTGATTACAATTATTATGTCATTATTTGAAAATGAATTTAATACGTTACTTTAAAGAGTTTCTCCGAGGTTTAAGTAGCATAATACAACTGACAATAGCGCTAATACTAAAATAATTGACATTGCCAATGCCGATGCAATACATCTCTTCTGAACATTTGGATTAAAATATACGCAATTTCAAGAGAAATCAGAAATATTAACGTAAGTGCGGATAATGTGGCTTTTCCTGCCTTTCCGATTGTTTTTTCTGCAAGATCTGCAAAACTTTCAGCATGAGTTTTTCTGACAACAGAAATAACGATATATGTAGCATAAAACGTAAGGAGGGCGATTATTATGAGTAAAATAATTGATATTATTAGTCCGGTGTTGACGAAAGTGCTAGGTATTGCCAAGATTCCTGCACCGAGCATAGCACTCATGAGATTAAATAGAGTAGCCATAAACCCTTGCTTCTTACGCACATCAATTTCTAATGATTGGATATCCATATCATCGAAATGTGTTGCTGTACTTAATGAAGATATGGAAGTTGATGCTTCTGAAGGAGCATCCATCATGACACCACAAATTGGAACTTCATGGTTCTTATCTGGAAGTAATGTCATCTCAATTTCCTTGTTTTTACGCATCTTGAACGAAATATTAATTATCTTGGCAAGTTGTCAAATTGGTTGTCAATTCTGCTGTATTATAAATTTTTTGAGTGAAAAAGTTTTGATTGAAATAAAACCAAAATTTGTGTAATTTATTTATAAGCAGTATCCAAACAACATTCTTTTATGTTGGAGAATAAAATTTCTCAGAAATTTTCAATGGCGGATCTGATGAAGACATCAAGCAGATTTTTTATTGCGAAATCATGTTTTGGTTAATAAATATTTACTTACGACCTATCCAAACCATAAATAGCAATCAACTATCCATAAAACATTCAAAATTTAAATCTGAAATTTTTCTTTAACCAATTTATGATGTATATTATTGTAAAAATTGAATCAGTGGTTCAAATATTTATGGTGGAATGGGTTAATACCGTAATATCTCTTTGATTGGAGAACAATTGAAATTCATTAACCGATTTTACCGCATTTAAGGCTCAACCTCATAATATAAAAATATTCTTTTTCAATTACTGATATTAATAAACATAGAAAGAATTTTTTTTAATTAACAGAATTAATATTACTAAGAAAAACATTTGCAGCATCGGCAAGAACACCTTGCTTTTTAAGTGTTTCAAAATACGCAACCAATCCTGGTATTGCCTTAAACTGAGAAGCAATAGGACTATGAGAACTCAAATTAACAATAAGGAAAACAGCTGGTTTTGTCAATCTTGAGCTATTCTGGATGTATTTAAAGATTGTCTCCATAAATAGTCCGTATTGATAAGAATAACCAGCTTGAACGCATTTGTCTAAAGTCATGAAGATACTTAAGAGAACGTTTTCATTTCCCTTGTTCTCATTGATGAGAGTTGTCAATGCTTGGAAGAACTCGTCATTTGTCAGATTATTGATTATCATCTGATCTAACTGAGCTCTTTTGAAGATTGTAGGGAGAGAGAAAAGCGTCTCTTGAGGGATCGTGTTCAGGCACTTAGAAATGAAGGGACTGAAAGTTTCAGAATGTAAAATAATTGGTCGGAGGTCAGGATCATTAAAAATAATTAAAAATACCATAAATGTGTATGGACTGATGAATGTCATCCATTTCGTATAAAGAACTGCAATTTTCCTGTGGTCTTGTGATAATGATACAAATTTGATCAAAACGCGAGCCAATTTTGGACGTGATGATCTATCACTAATTGCTTTAAACAGGGTCTTGCTCGCTGGATAATTTTCTGCTCTCAGTAACAAATGCGAGCAACTTTCAACGCAAGCCATGTTTGGCAATGCTCTGATGATTGCATCGTAAGGAACAAGATCACCTTGTTTGTAAAGCAATGCAAAAATGTTAAGAGCTGTTGCCATGACGATAGAATTTCTTGATCTTGTGAAAGCGGAGACAGTTTGCTTAATTGTTTCCATTCTGTCTTTGCTGAAATCATCAATTAATGTCAGTTGGTACATCAATTGAACATAAAGTTCACCGGAATCGAGATGTACAAAATGGCGGGCGTATCTGAGCAAAAAATCAAGAACTGGATCAGGATTTCGCAATCTTCCATATCTTGATATGTAATGAGGGAACAAAGATAAAGTTTGGAGAGGGAATTGTTTGAATAAACTTCCTAATGCACGGAAAACTGTAGAATGGATGTAATTTGGAGATAATTCGAATACAGCAGCAACAAAGAATAGTGTTGCTCGTCGGGCTTTCTCGGAAATAACTGGCAAAACTGAGAAAAAGTGGTATTGATCAAGGAATTTAATGATTCTCTTCTCTCTATTGATCATACTTGTAAAGTTTTCGAGAATATATACAGCAACATCTTCATCATCTTTGTTTCTGAAGTATTTGATGATTTTTCCGTAAAATGGAGCAAAATCTTCGAATTTTATACGGCCACAGATATCAGCAATCGTTGACTTAAATGCAGTATGTGTCGAATCACTCAATATTGCATTCAAAGTTGCCAAACGTGACAAAGTTGAAGGAGTTTTCTTGATAAATTGGGCTTTTCCGGCATGTTCTTCTTCATAACTTGGTCTGTGCATTCCTTCTTCAACATCTAATCTCATCAATGGCTCTTCTTCTTCGAAATCTTCGCTGATTGGTATTCCAAACGCTAATTTCATCGAATCTACGGCTTGTGAACGCTTCAACTTGCTTTCTATATGTAGAATTGTATCTGCTTGCCACCTAGAAGCTTCTCCGGCTTGGAATTCTTTGACATAAGAAATTGATTGAAGCTCCTCGAGAAGTCTATTTACGTAATCTTTGATAACATTGTGATCTGTGTTGTGGAAATATACTCTTCCTGATGCAAAATCATTGAAAATTTCAATAGGTAAAGGACGATCATTTGGATTTTGCTCCCAACATTTCATGATCAAGCAAAGAAGGCAGTCTGGTTCTTCTTGATTATAAAACTTTGGTCTGATGCCTTTCTTGTGGTTCTTAATGACTTCTTTCGAAGGATATCCAGCAAATGGATTCTTTTTCTCAACCATTTCGTACAATGTGCAGCCGAAAGCGAATACATCTGCTTTTATATCGTATTTCGATGTAGACATGAGCTCTGGAGCCATGTGAGATGCAGTTCCGATTCCAACTGTCATTGCCTTTCTGTTGAAGAACCTAGAAATACCAAAATCGCATAACTTAGGAAGATAATGGTTATCTAGTAATACGTTCGCTGCTTTGACATCTCTGTGAATGATTTTTTGTACATGAATGTATCTTATTGCAATAATCAATCCAATTGCAATCATAGTAAGATGTGTTCCTGAGAATATACGTTTATGCGTTTTTCTTTCTTGTCTTAAGTAATTGTGTAAAGATCCATATGGCATATATTCTGTTATGATGCAATAAGGCTTTTCAACTGTAAAACCTATGAATGGGATGACAAATCTGTTATGGCATTTACCCATAGTGACAATTTCTCGAACAAAATTTGTAAGATTTCTTCCAACAAGTTTTTCTGCGAACAACTCCTTAATTGCGACTATCTTACCTGTTCTAAGGTCATTTGCAAGCCAAATTTCGCCAAACCCTCCATGACCTATAATTTCTTGAAAAGTAAAATCAGAGATGTCTCTAATAAGATGTGGGAATGTCAAAACTAAACGATGTAAACTCTCGTATAGATTTGTTTCTGCGGACTTAACTACTTTAGGTTCTCCAATTTCTTCGGGTTTGGAAATATATTTGAACTTTTTTGGTTTATAATCAATAGAATTGCGGCGTTTGCTTTTAGTGATTTTATTTAAGATAGGGCGATAAGAAAATGACTTCCTTCTTTTAATAGATTTATTAATTTTTGGTAAATCAATGTCTTCTTCAGGTGACAAGAAAACGACTTTGTTATCTTCTTCTTCATCTGCATGTTCTTCTTGAATATCGGGTGGATTTTTCTCTCGATTGCCTTTCTTTTTAAACATGGCAAAAAATGAATAATTTACATTTTTTACATTAGCGAATATTTAATATTTGTCGTGTATTGATTCTATTAAAAATTAAAAAGTTCGCATAAAAAAATTTAACCAATTCAATTAATTGAAAAATGTTTTATGTCAATAGAAAAATAAACAAAAGCAAAAGCAATCAGAAGGGAAAAATCAGCTCTTTCAATGTGTGCTTCGTATATTTTGAGCAGTTCGCTCTCATGGCTCGGATTAGTTTAATTTTGACATTTACAAATTTTGGTGAAAATTAAGAATTTGATGGTTTGAATTATATGTTTTAGTTCAGTATAAAAATTTCCGATGATTACTAGAGGAAAAGATTCTTGTATTGCAAATTTGTAAAAGCAGAAAAATACTTCAATGAAATAGAAATATAAACACCATAAACTTTCTAAACCATTGTAATATCCCAATTTCTAACCTAATCGCTTAATTTCAACTATTCTGAAACATTTTTCGAAAATATTTATAGAAGATTTTATCAAGCTCTAGGTTATAGTATGTCAATATTTTATAAGTATTAAATCATCAAAAAGAATCCAAAACTCAAAAATAAGAGAGATTATAATTGAAATAAAAATATCAACTGCAATAACATATTGATAGCAATTACCAAAGATCTTGGGAGTTGTAGATATTGTAATGTATTTCCCCTCTGCGTTTAATATTAATCATAAAGCCTGCTATCATTCAATTATTTAAATATGATAGCTAGATGAATAATTAAAAAAACTATAGGTAGGTTATAGATTTTTGGATTTAAATGTCCACTGAAAAACATCATTTTTGAGTAAATGCAAAAATATTGGGGATGATATTACATATATTGTATAAGTTATAGGGGGTGATGCATGTCATTTGTTAAGATAAATTAGGAATTTAGTGATTTTAAGAAAGGATAATATGAAAAAAATAATAATTAATAGAAATAAAATGAAATTAATATGAATATAATTGACTATGTTCTAAGTAATGAAGAATATTATAGGGAAAAATGTTGATGAAGAAGGAGAAAAGATGAATTTTTAGCATGATCGTGAAAAATAGCTACTAAGCCTATATAAAATAATATTAACTTGAGAAAAGAATGTTATGAGGCGTAAAAAAATTTTAATAAAATTGAATGTTTGCGAGTAAATTTGAATAAGGTTTTGAATTTTATAATCAGGACTGGAAATTTTGATATATGATTATTAATAAAAGAAAAATGAAATTGAGATTTTGAGGGGGTTTTTCAATTGCAAAATACGTTCTTATCAATTTTTCTTGGATTCAATTTGAATTTTTAATGGGATAATAGTATACAATAATGGAAATAATTTTATCTCATTTTTAAATTTGAGAAAAAGTAATTCAATAACAGCTCACAAAATTGTATGGGTAGTAAAAAAAATTTAATCTGGCATGGTATTATACAACACATACGTGTTTACAAATTGTATTCAATTGCATAAAAATTTTGAGTGCTATTCAATCTACTTTTGAAGATCTCTCAATTGCTCATATCGGTTTTTTACTATTGTTATTATTTCCATTTCTACTAGTATCATTATAAATATCATTAAAACCATTCATATTTGTTTTTCAGAGAAATTGTACAGATTTTTCGGGAAGTTTATGTAATATTTATATTACCACTCAATTAAGCCAAAACTGCAAACTTACTAAATTGAATTGATTTGAAATCCAACGAAAAAATCTCTGGAAAAAAAATCAGTGTCTTACAGAATTCATGATTCATTCAAAAATCATTCCGATTTCTATTAATCCTCTCCTTTCTGTCATCATATCGAATGTTTTTCAAATCAATTGTCAATTGATTTAACTCTCAAATTTGAAAAAAACTTTTTTCATCTCTCAAATTTATATAGATGAATAAAGCTACACCCAATATCCAAGAAATCCTATCTAATCATGGCTACCGGATTGTTCAATGCTTAGAAAACAAATACTTTCCATCAGTTTTACTTGTATATAGTTCTTCTTTTAACGAAAATTACGTTTGCAAGGTCGTGACGAAGCGTATAAAATACGAGAAAGAGATTCATGCTCTCACAGTTTTGGACCACCCTAATATTATTCGACTTTATTCGCATTTTGAAGACAGTGATACATTTTTCCTTATTTTGGAATACTGTCAAGGTGGTAGTTTAGAGGATTTAATCAAGCATCATGCAAGACCAAAGCAAGATAAGATTATTAATTATACAAAACAAATTGTGGCGGCTCTAAAATATATACATTCAAAAAACATTGTTCATCATGACCTCAAACCCTCAAATATTTTATTTGATAAGTATGGACGTATTAAAATTGCCGACTTTGGACTTTCCTGCGCCTACAAGCAAAATTCATCAAATTATTACGTTGGAAGTTATGGTTATTTATCTCCAGAACAAAGAGCTAACCATGTCTTTGATCCATTTGTTGCTGATATATGGTCACTTGGTGTAACAATTTACTTTATGACCTGTGGATTTAACCCATTTTTACAACAAAAGAACGGACTCAAGATATTTATTCCGATGTATGTAGAGAAGACTCTTGTAAATATAATAACAGGCACATTAGAAGAAGATCCTTCAAAACGGATTTCATTAAATGATATCCAAGCATATCTTTTATCGAATCCTAAGCTGACAATTCCTTCAACTTCATGGTATGGTATTCCTGCTATGAAAAGTATCGAAATGTCACCGAAAGTTAGCCAAATTAGACCTGGAAAGAGTACTATCATTAGAGTCTAATTGAAGTACTCGTATGTATATTATATGATTATTATTTGTTTGTTTTTATTGTTAGTGATAAACATATATTGCGTTTGAAAAAAAGATATGAAATTATTTCGCAACTCCTAATATCAAAGCACGAAATTTCATGAATTTAAAGAAAACCAGCATAAGTGACACAAGATATGTCCCGAAATGACTCACAACTAAGAATCATGCGATAGTCAAGTTTACAAAAATCAAGTTGATACGAATTGATCGAACTTTGTGAATTATTTGAATGCCTGTAATTTATCAATCAAAGATCTAATTGAAAATTGATGTTACGTAATTAATCTACAAAAATGATTTCTGTTGATTTTTACGATCGAATTGAATTGACAGAAATTTTAAATGCAACTTTGGCTGATAGTCCCATTGGTACTAATTGTATGGTATGTACTTAGAGTAAGGAAGCCAAGGTTATATTATAATAAAGATGGCCAGATAGCTCGTATCCTTTCAAGAATGAAGTCAATTCATCAATTTTATTTCCCAACACCATGGTTAATTGGCAAAGATTTTCATACGATATGGGGCATGCAGTATAGAAAACATTCCTCCGTTAAGCAAGAAAGAGAAATTTTCAAGTTTGAAGATGGTGGCTCAATCCCTCTTGATTACATGTTACCAGAAAAGGTACCAGAGAATCCAATTGTTATTATTGTGATGCATACAATGGGTGGTGGATCCAGAGAACCATGCGTTAATAATTTATGTGAAGCTTTATATAAGAAAGGAATGATCCCTGTCATTACTGGTGCACGTGGATCAAGTGGATGTCCATGGACAAATGAAAAATTCTCAACAGGTATTGATTTCTCTGAAATTAATCAAGTTGCTGCTTATCTTAAAGAAAAGTATCATCCATCTCACATGTTCTTAGCCGGTTTCTCTGCAACAGCATTTACATCAATTGCATATGCTGCAAAATTCAAAAATTTCGAAGCAGTTGCTGCAATTTCACATTGCTTAGATGCAATGGGTTCTCAAAGAATGCTACTCAAAGGATTAGGTCCTAAACTCTACAGCCCATTCATGCTGAGCAAACTGAAGCATTGGTTAAGCAAAAATCAATATGTCAAAGACGAAATCAAGCAAGAAGCCAATAAAACAAAGCGCCTGATCGATTTTGATCGTATTGTCTGTGCTCCACAGCTTGGAATGACTGTTGAAGAGTATTATCATGCAATTGACATCAAAGACAAGCTTGACAACCTCAAATGTCCAGCACTTGTTCTTGTTTCCAAAGATGATCCATTTGCTGATCTTTCTGCTGCTCCTTACGATGAAACAAAGAGATGCGACAAAGGTTTGTATGTTGAAACAAATGAAGGTGGTCATGTTTCATTCTTAACAGGATTATCTGGAAATAAGTCACTTATTGATAAGATTGTTCCAGAATTCTTTGAAGCTGTAATATATGATCACAAATATTTCATCCTCTAAAATAAACTAATCATAAACTATTTTACTCTATTAACCTATGTGTTTTTAACAAGAATTGAAAGTTATATTTCATTAATTGGTGTAGTTTCCTTTTTGCTGTAATCATATTAATAGTATCCTTCACTATGTTAACTCAGTTTTCAAATAAAAGATCCCAAATATTAATAATTGAAGATTATTATATAAATATTTTTCAGTTATATTGAAATAAATGCATTCATTGATTTCAAAATAGTGTTGAAAAATTGCTTATTGCATATATGAACTTAAGAATTAAGATTTTAATAAAAATTTACATAAATTTTCATTAATATTTGCATGATATCGTGACAATAAATAGATAATTAGAATTAATATATGTATAAAAGCAATTTATTATAAAAAATGTATATTCTATTTCAAATGGATTAAATTACCGAAAAATTCTATAGCAGAAAGGACGAATTTACTGCGTAAATGTTCCTTCTTTGAAAAGTTCTCAATTTGCTGTATCTTAAATCTAGAATAATAATCCGTAGAATTATTAATAGTATAAGTATGAGTTCCCCTTGGAACATTCAGTTCTTGAGCGTTAGTAACTTCGTGTATCTTAACCCAGTTTTCTTTTTCATCTGCGCCGTAAACAATCCAATGTTTTGGCTGAGCGGAATTTGCGGAATTCAAGCTATGGGAAATGGTATAGTGTGTCAGTCTAAGCTTCATCGATGGGAAGCCGATATAAACCCAAGCATCTGATTGTCTATAAATTCCATTGAGTGGAGAAGCGTTTTCCCACCACTTGGAATGATCAAAAGGCTCGAAAAGATGAGGTAACGCCCATTGCTTGTTTCCGCCGCAATCTAAAATTATTGTTCCATTTCCGACTTGATCTGGGTAGTTTTGTATGAAATAGTTGAAGATTCCAAAGAATGGATTGCCTCTGTAAGGGAAATTTTCTTCATTTGGCCTTTGAACTCTTTTACGAAATCTTTGGGAAACAGCCCTCCATAATGGACCGCTAATTGCATCTGGATGACATATTGATACAAATTGATTCAGTTCTTCGGTTTTGAGCTCAAGAAAATTCAAATGACAAAATAAGGAACAATAAGCCGGATTTACTTGAATATTCTTCTCTACTATATTGTATATGCATTCGAAAAATCGTTTGTTATCAATTTGCTTTTGTACTAGCAAACATGATAAAATTTCATCTAAAATATATACAGGCATATTGAATATAAACTGGGAATTCATGTAGATCACGAACGATTCTTTGATTTGGTTTAATGGTGCTACCAGTGATAAAAACGAAGAATCATAATCGTAATTTTCTATGCTTTTTGGTAAAAAATTATTCTTTTTGAATTGATATGCTACCATATGTACAAGGTCGATGTTTTCAAAATAAGATGCATATTGCGAAAGCATAATAAGATGGTTTGCTGCGATATCTACGTCTTTGCCTTGAATAAATTGACAAACTATATCTAAAGCATTATTCTCATCTGGAAATGGTATTGTTAAGCTTCGTTTGCAAGGATCACAAACCAATAATCTTCTAACCATTGGAGAAAAGCCTATTAGTCTAAATGTATGAACTAAATATCTCGCGCTTTTAGAAATTATCGTGAAATCTTTAGGCAATTCATTCAAGATTTCATCATTAAAATCTATATCTTTAGGTACGATTTTCATTGTCACTTTTTATCTTCCGGAAAATATATAATACACGTGTAGTTCCACAAAATCGCAACAATGCTTTCAAGATTTTGGTGATGGATTTAGATTATGTAGATACTAGATGACTAATAGAAGAAGAATGGAAGAAAACTGCAAGAGTAATTTCGGGGAACAGGACAATTTGCCACACGGCACTTTTTTTAAAAAAAATTAATGGAGCGGAGCGATACTCTGCTGCAGGAGCCCCAAGGCTCCCAATCATTACGAAAGGGAGCCTCAGGGCTCCTGAGAATCCATCAGCAGAGGCCTTTTCATTTGGCCTCTGCTGATCAAAGTTTCGGCGAAGCCATTCTTCGTCTCAGGAGCCCCAAGGCTCCCAATCATTACGAAAGGGAGCCTCAGGGCTCCTGAGAAACCTCTTTGAGAAGGTTTTCTTAAAGAAAACCTTCTCAAAGATGATTGTCAGCATTCACTCAAAATCTACCAAGAGTTTCAAAGTTTCAAATCTATCTGAAATGAAGCTTTGAATCTATTGTATATCTAATTGTAGAGGTACCTTTTCAAAATGTCTTCTATTGATTAAATTTAATCAGTAAAAGTCATTTTGAAAAGGTACATCTCTATAATTGCTATTGAGCATTCACTCTTGGAACCTTGGAGCTCTTGTGTAGTGCATGAAAACTCCAAGATTCTAGCATAAAACATATATCATAGACATAATTTCTTCAAATATAATTTAAGGTTATTTTTAAAAAAAATTAGAAAAGTGTAATTTAAGGTTATTGAAAAGTGACACTTGGCAAATTTGTCCCGCACTCGTAATTTCGAGACAATATTATTAAAATTTATATTTGAATTTTTGATCTGCAAATAAACATATTTGTATTATTAATCGGTTTTACAGAATAGACCTTGCGTTATTGTAGGTTTTGAATACTCAGTACATAACTTTAATTTCGGCATCAAAATTATGAGTCTTATAGACCATCAGACGAACTCAGTAAACTATTGTTGGAGTAAAATCAAAAGTTGTTGTGAATGTCTATAATTTTTGAAATTTCAAGCATAAGGACATTTTATTTAATTATTATTACTTTATAGCTCTTAAATGTAAGTTTGCAATATTTCTTTTATGTCATCTTATTGAATTTTTTTGAGATGAATTCAAATTAATTGTTTTCTTATAATATATATATGAAAAAATCAATTAAAAAATATCAAACAAACATACAAACAATTTATTTGAGGAAATCAGAATAACTAAATGAAATAGGACAAACAATTTCAGGGTATCCAACAGGAGAATTTGCAGATTGTGCAATAATATTTCTCAACAAGAACGAATCGAACTGAATACTTGGTCTTTCTCTGTCAGTTGATTCCATAAATACTGTTTCATTGATTTCGCTGGCCCAGATACCTCTAACAAGCTCACCATTTATCTCAATGACCTTGAACTTCTGTTGTCTTCTCGTAAACATCATGTATTTCACAGAAACTTCGTCTTGATCTTGGTATTGACGCATTGTCTCCAATTCTGGCTCTTTATTCTGGATCAATGGTGCCCATCTTGGATCGGATTCAGGTAAAACATGTCTTTGTGTAACAGATTCTTTGATCATATCTAATAATTCGTCAAATTCGTCAGGAAGAGTTCCAGCAGCATGATGGACAGCAATAGATACTGCAGACCTAAACGATGCAACTATTTTTTCATTAACTCTTGCTGGAATCCATAGATAATTTTGTAAATGCATTGTAGAGCTGGAAAAGAACTTGAAAAGCTTCCATTCGAAATCTCCTTGGTATTTGTTCATCTCGTTTACCAAGATTTGAGAAACAGCAAGAATTTCGCGTTTGACCGCTGTTTTTCCTGTTTTTTCTATGAAATCTATGGCAGCTTTTTCATAATCGCTCGGTAGCGTTATTTGTAAATCTTCCGGTACAGAAATATCGTCACTTTCTTCTAATGATACGGCCAAACAACGAACGAGCTCCAAATGGACCAAATCCTGATGAGATCTATCAGGGAAACATAGCGATACCCTGTTAGATGAGACCGTGTAGCTTTCCAACATGTAATCATCTCTTAATGTTCGCCAACAACAGCTTGCAACGAACGCGCGCTGGCGGAGAGGCAGTGCTTCAGGTAAATTGAGGATTTTGAGGAGTTTTGAGATCGGCAGCCATAGTAAACTTGTAAATCTAGTTAATAAAGTTGAAGCCATGAAAGTTCTCATTTCATCTACAGCATCTAGATCAGCTCTTACTATTTGCAATTCATTCCTATGGCATAATGTTTGATCTCTTGCTTCTAGACCTCGTAATTGAAAGACCACATATCCGACTCCTGCAGAAACAACATGTACGATAGCGTTGAAGTGGTCATCGCATATGAGGAAGAACATATTCTCTGAAATATGTGGGAAAATTCCTTTCTCTGCGTCAGTTGCGAACTTTTCGGCCAATGAGTCCGAAATATCTTTGTAAAACAAGGCATCGCCAGGCTGTGGCTCGTATTTCCACGGATCGTACCAGAAAACAGATGGTCGCGGGTAGCTAGGAAGGAAAAACGGATATCCTGCGATCGGCATCATCGGTGAATTCAAAATTGAAGAGATCAGAATGCCAAAAGCGGTGAACTGGATATTGGCGAGCATCGTGAATAGTACGAACACTTGTCTGCCCTTCGACATGGCGTGGAATGAAGAATATGTCAAAATGAACTGAAGTTTTCTATGAATTTCCGAGATTTTCTTAAGGATAAGGAAATAAACCATGAACTGGAATAATGCATTATCGGTTATTTGGCCGGCCAATGAAATAATTATGTAACTTAACGCGAAAACAACTGGAGAACGGTATATATTGCATGAAACACCGATGACCATTGTTATTCTGATCGATGACTCGGCCCATGATACTAATCCGAACGATTTCAGCTCTGATATTGAAATAATTGTGCCAATACAGAGCGGAGAAAGGATTATCTGTTCTATTAATGTCATAATCCTCATGTACGTGGTATAATGCTCATTGGTATCGAAAAATGGTGATGAAAACTTGCCATATGGATTCCGAAATGTCAAATTTGGCAAAATTGAATGGGTTATCATTACTGTTATGGAGTAAATTGCGCAGACTGTGAATAGAAATACTTGGTTGCCCTTGGAAACCATCAAAATGATGAAAACAAGGAATCCTGCCCATAATCCTTTTACAATTGCTATCCACGCTGTTCTGAATGGGCCACGACCATCGCCAACATAATAATCACGACTTTCTAGGCCAAGCAACTTAGAAATAAATGGTAATTGGCTGCTACTTGAAAAATATATTCCAACAACAACGGAAATCGACTCCAATAAGTATCCTGCCCAGTTATACTTCGACAGATAGCTATGGGAAATCGATAGAATAAAGGTAATGATCGTATCGAATAAAAATCCCAGATTTGCGCTATAAAATGTAACATAACCGCTTTTTCCGAAGAAAACGGAGTGTAAAGTCTCGAATACATCGAACCAGGAGTCTTTTAGACTGCCAATCATCCCCAACATGTTGAAAATTGGGAATAAAGTTACGATATAATTAAAAACTTTGGAACAGAACTCGATAATGCCATTCATAGATATTGTAGTGTTGAACAAATCGAGTGATGCTGACGCTAGCCACTCAACTCTTTGTAAATACGTAACTAATGAAAATATAAGTTGAAAAGCGATTAAATGGAATGCTCTTGAGTAAGGAGTGAATGGATCTTGTACTGTAGTCGAAGAACTGTCTGGATTTGGTGCAAGTAATAGAGAATATTGAGCTGATGCTGTAGAAAAGACGAAAATAGCTTTGCTTGCCGAATTTATGAAGTTTGAGTTAAGTAAACAAAGAATTCCACACACAGCTGCGAAAAGAGGAGACACTACGACATCAATTAACTTAAATGGACGATCAAACCAACTTTCGAGGTCTTTTCGTGTCCAGGTGACTTTGAACTTGCATCCAAATATGTGTATTTCTGTTGGAACTGCTGTAATTCCTGTATCTCTGTTGATTGTCATTGAATATCCAGAAAGTTGACCGCTTTGATACAATTCGTAGAAATGGAATAGCTCGCTTGGGTTATATCCTTCTCTTATTGCTTCTGAAACAATCGTATTTATATCTATTACGTTAAAATCTGTTAAATGATCTCGAATTCTCCATATGGATTTTGATATTCCGAATGGAGGTTCTTCATCTTGTTCTGTATTAGGAACTGGATGCGGCACAAAATCAGCCACTTGCTGCCCTTGATTGTCAAAATCTTGATGAATTTGGTAATTTATTAGTTTAATGATGAACCAAATTATCATAGTTAAAATGGGATGGAGTAAAGATAATGGATTATTGCCTGAAACATTGACTATGATTAAAGGAATAAAAAAAGCCCAAGCAAATATTAAAGTGTGTATCCAAAATATCAATAAAGGTTGATCATTGTAGTAAGTATATCCTCCTGTTATTGTTGGTACGATCTTCCCGATGATAAATTCCCTAAAAAACGAAGAGAAAGTCATCAGAGAAGACCCCGCCTTGAAATTTTTTTTCAGAGGAGTAGGTTTTTGATCGTGATTTGATTAGAAATGTTTGGATATTACTGCCTTGGTTGCCCTTAGCATATATTTCTTTCTCTGGTTTCCGAAGATTAAATTGGTTGGAAGCTCATTGAAGTTTATCAGATCATTGGAAACTTCATACTGAAATAGAAAGCTATACTTAACAACTCAAGCTTGAAAATATGGTGTGTGTGGTTCCAAGTCATGAATGCAATATTTCTTTTCTAAATGAAAAATTGTAAGTCTATTTTAATGCTATATCACACTTCCAAGTCATAATATATGCAAGTACAGTATATTTTAATAGATTTGGTATATATAAATATAATATATTTTGATGTAAAATGTATTTATTAAATTTAATAATATAGAATATTCTTTATTAGCTAATATTGAATATAAGATAGTTTTAGTTATCTTCAGATAGAAGATTAGCTGATATTTGATTCTGTTCATCAGCTTGTGACTTAGTTTTCTTTAATGCATAGAGGAAACAAGTCAAATTTGTAATCAAATAGAAGGAATCCTGGAAAACATAGCAGAATAAGACCGTTCTTGGTGAATTTTTGTTAATTGCAAACAAAACTGCACCACTTATTAGCAAACCAAGATTCTTTGTCATTTGTCCAAGCGCGCAAAGTAATTCGTGATGCATTATAACCAAGAGACCAGATGTGATATCTGAAATTGGCTCAAATATTGTTGTGTAGAACTGAATGGGAGAAATTTTTGGAACCTATTCAAGCATTTCAGGATCATCTAGCCAAATCTTCAATACTATCTTAGGAGTAAATACCATTATAGGCCATATAGTAGCAACAATAAGTCCTGGTAAAATAAATGCATTTGCAACAAGTTTTGTGAATCTCTTTAAATCATTTCTTGTGAAAGCATAATTGGCACATGGACCAAGACCAGAAATAGCATCATTTGAACATGTAAGCAAAATTGTATATGCTTTTGCAGTTGTTGCATAAACTGTTGGGAAAATTTTATCTTTTCCAATATTCTTTGAAGCTTTGGTCACAAAACCAACTACAATGAGAGGGCAAGTCAATGTGAATAAGACCATTACAACAGTTGGAATTGTCAGCCAATGAGCATCATAAAATTCTGGACTTGGTTTGGCAAAAAATGATGACCAAACTGGCTTGACAGCAAATACATTAAAAATGAATAGGAAGAATACTATAAGACAAATTGTTGATGGACCAGAGACCAAAGCAACACCCATCCATCCGATTGAAGCATGAAATCCCCAAATGAAAAGTGCATCCAATCCAAGAGAAAGAAGTAAAGCCAAAACTTGTATCACTGATGATAAAATTGAAAATCCCATTGACATAAGAATGCTATTCAGGAAGTTAAATAAATAAACAAAGAATGGATAAATGAAAATTGGAGTTAAATATCTGACACCTACCGTTTTAAGTTTTTCTGGCATTCCAATCTTTGTGAGGATCATTGGACAAGCAGGAAGCAATAATAATGGAAGAATAATGCCAATGAATAAACCTACTCGAATAAACTCTACAAATAATTTTCCTGCTTTTTCATATTCATGTTTTGCAATTAATTGCCCTGTTTTTACTGAGGCACCACCACTTGCAAAGGTGGACAAAAGGGATACAAGGGATTTTAGACCACCAGCAATACTAACTACCGTTACTCCATCCTTTCCAAAACCCTTTTTTATAATATAAAGATCAATTGAGTCTTGAACGCCGCTAAAGATTGCAAAAAGAAGTGGACTAATGCATAGTTTCATAATGGTTACAAATGGTGATGACCCACCTAGTCTGATATCTTCAGCTGTTTGTGTTTCACTCTTCATTAATGATTAATTTTATCATTTGAATAATTCTTCACAAAAAAATGGATTAGAAAAATGAAAATACCGATCTTCGAAATTAGTTGAAATATGAAATCTATTGCATTATATGGATATAAATAATTAAAAAAATATTTCGGTAATTTTTTCTCTGAATTTTGTCAAATTGATTATGACGCAAAATCACATAATTCCATTTTTTCGGTGCTGGTGGAATCATGATTTTCAAAAGACAAATATTTAATAAGACAAATTATCATACAAAAAGACAAGAGATATGATGATATCTGAGATTTGTCAAAATATGGAATTATTACCGGAATCGAATAATAATTAAAAATCAATTCCGGTTATATGGCTAAATATTTGAGAAAAAAGAAGTAGCCTCAATTTAAACCCTTTTTCAATTGTATTGTTATGGCTTTTAAACGCTTGAAACATATTATTCGATTTCCATTATTAGGATAAAATAAAATTAGAAGTTTAAATAGCAATTAAAAGAATATGGCGCCATCTCATATTCATAAAAAGAAATTTTTATGAGTATATTAATAAGCAAATTTTCTTCGGAAAGAAGAAAATGCAGATATTTGTTTCTGCTCTTCAGCATTGGATATTGACTTTCTAAATGCATAAATGAAACAAAACAAGTTCGCAATTAGTGCTGAAGAATCTTGGAAAGCATAGCAGAATAAAATTGTCCATTTATTAGCACACCGAGATTTTGTGCCATCAATCCAAATGTGCAAAGAATACCATGATTCATGACAACTAAAAGAGATGATGGAATTCCTGAAAGAGGAGCAAAAATGGTTGAATAGAACATCATAGGAAATATTTTTGAAACCCAAGCAAGCATTTCTGGATCATCAAGTCAAATCTTTGGAATTATTTTATGTTTAAAAACCATTAAACATAAACCACGATTCCAGGAAGAATAAATGTGTGTGTAATGAGTTTTCTGAATCTTGATAGATCATTCTTCGTATATGCACATGTTGTACATGGAGTAAGACCAGAAATTGATCCACTGGTACATGAAATTAGCATTGTATATTGCTTTTGCTGTTATAGAGTAAACAGTTGGGATGATTTCATCAAGTCCTGCTTTCTTTGATGCTTGTGTTACAAATCCAACAACAAGTAGTTGGCATATTAATCTGAATAAAACCATAACCATTGATGGAATTGTCAGCATTAGAGCTTCCTTAAACTATTGGCTTGGTATTTGAAAGATTGCCGACTAAACTGGCTTAACAGCAAATTTGTTAAAAATATATAATATGAATGTGACATTGCAGGCAGTAGAAGGGCCTGCAGCAAAAGCAACACTCATCCACACTATTTGAACATGAAATCCCCAAATAAAAAGAGCATCAAAGCTCAGAGAAAGAAGATGTGCTAAAACTTGAATAATTGATGATATAAGTACAAATCCCATTGACATTAAGATACTATTCAGGAATCCAAATAAATAAACAAAGAATGTATATATGAAAATTGAAGTTAAATATGCAGAACCTTGTGATTTAAGATTCTCTGGCATTCCAATCTTTGTGAGAATCATTGGAGCAGTTAGAATTAACAGCAATGGAAGAAGAATGACAATGAATAAGCCATCACGAATAAATTCTACAAATAATTTTCCTGCTTTTTCATATTCGTGTTTTGTGATTAATTGGCCTGTATTGATTGATGTACCACCACTTGCAAATGTGGATAATGGTGTGACAAGAGATCTTAAACCTGAACTCCACAAAATAGTTGCAATAATAATGGACTGAGACATAGTTTTATTATTGTAACAAACGGCGATGATCCATCTGGCCTTGTATCTTCGGCTGTTTGTTATTCCCCCATTCATTAATGAAAACGCATCCTATTTGAATACTTCTCAAAAAAATTGAGTCAACCAGCGTCAAAAGTCAGATCTAGTGAAAAATTATTATTGTTGAATCAAACATCAGACGCTGATAGCAAATAGCTTTAGTTAAACACTATTTTGTAAAGTGGTCAAAATGTCACGTAATGGATAGATTCTGAGATGGTGAATTCATGTATTTGCACGATACAATCATGCAGGAGAAATTTATATATCTAAACATAAATTATATCTTGAATAAATAGGAAATCGAAATTTAATTAAAAATACGATCTAGATTTGAGGAACATAAATAGATAAAATGGTCTTATTTCCAGGATTATATGATAATGGCTAGAAGGAAATATTTGCAAATTATGTATAGATATTTAATGAAAAAGTAAACAAAAAATTCTATGAGTCTTCATAATAAAAAATCGTCAAAATTTTTCAAATCATTTTTTTCATATGCATCTAATATAATATTTTTAATAGGATAGGAGATAATATAACTCTAATTACCTTCAGAAAGAAGATTAGCAGATATCTGCTTCTGTTCCTCAGCTTTAGCTCTTGATTTCTTGAAAGCAATGATGAAACAGATAACATTGCAAATCAAGAAAAATGAATCCTGGAAAGCGTAGCAGAACAAAACAGTTCTTGGTGAGTTCTTCTTTATTGCAAACAATACTGCGCCACTGATGAGTAAAGCCAAGTTCTTTACCATCATTCCAAGAGCACAAAGGATTTGATGGCCCATAACAACCAAAAGCATTGAAGTAATGCCATTAATTGGATCAAATATTGTTGTATAGAACATTATAGGAGAAATCTTTGGAATCCATTCAAGCATTGTTGGATCATCAACCCAAATCTTCAGAATAACCTTAGGTCCAAATACCATCAAAGGCCACATGATGCCAACGATAAGGCCTGGAAGAATGAATGCGTTTGCAATAAGCTTTGTGAATCTGGAAAGATCATTCTTTGTAAATGCCCAAGTTGCGCATGGAACAAGACCTGAAATAGCTCCACTTGAGCATGAAAGCATAATGGTATATGCCTTTGTTGTAGTAGAATGCACTGTTGGAATGATTTTCTCTAATCCGATATTCTTTGAAGCTTTTGTAACGAATCCAACAACAATGAGCGGACAAACTAATGTGAATAAGATCATAACAACTGTTGGGATTGCTAACTTTAATGCAACCCAAAATTCTGGACTTGGTTTCGAGACAAATGCGGACCAAATTGGTTTGACTGCAAATCTGTTAAAAACAAATAAGAAGAACATTATTAAACAAACTGTAGTAGGACCAGCAACAAAACAAACGCCCATCCAAGCGATTGAAGCGTGAAATCCCCAAATGAAAAGTGCATCAAAACCAAGAGCAAGGAGTAATGCTAAAACTTGGATAACTGATGAAAGAATAGCAAATCCCATTGACATTAATATACCGTTAATGAAGCTAAATAAGTAGGCGAAAAATGGATACAGATAAATTGGGAATAAATACTTTGAAGCATCATCTTTGAGATCTGGTGTAATGCCGAGCTGTGTAATGATCATTGGTCCTGAAGGAATTAAAAGAATTGGTAATATTATACCAAGAATTAAGCCAACACGAACAAATTCAACAAATAGCTTTCCAGCCTTTTCAAATTCGTGCTTTGCAATTAATTCACCAGTTTTAATCGTGGCCGCACTACTGGCAAAGGTAGAAACAAGTGTTACAAGAGTTCTTAAACCTGATGCAATACTAACTATAGTAACTCCTCTACTGCCAAAGCCTCTTTTCATGATGTAAAGATCTAATGAATCTTGAACACCATTAAAAAGTTGATATAATAAAGGTCCAAGGCATAATTTCATTATTGTAACAAAGGGTGAAGATCCACCGAGTCTGACATCCTCGGCTGTCTGAGTTTCACTATTCATTAATGAAAGGTCTTTCGATTTGAATTTATTCTCAGAAAAAATTGGATTATTATTCTCAAATTTCCGATCATAAAAAGTTCAAAAATTTAGGCTAAAATTATTGTGCACACACATCGTTAGGACTTTCCTTAATCGGTGAATTTTTTTTGGATCACGCTCAAATTTTATTTTTGTGATCGGAATTTTTTTTTGTGATGGGAAATTCGATAATTAACTATTTTCTTTGGGGATGAATACGTGATCTCACGTAATTCGTCCAAGGCAGGGTGTTTAACTATTCAGAGCTAAAAAGGAAAAATAAGAAGTCTATTGCCAATGATTAACTTCAATTTTGCCATAATTCAATCTAATTTATTGATATGATATATCATTTATAATAAAAATTATAGAAATATTAATAAAAAAAATTATTTAAAAAAACAAAACACATTTATAACTCTATATTAATCTAACTTCGATCTAATTGCATTAATAAATCCAGATCTTCCCAGTTTTTGCATCAAATTTTGAATATCGCTTTCGCTGACTCTCATTCCAATTTCTTTGAATCCTCTGCACATTTCCTGTGCATTTCTTGCCCGTATGACCACGTCTTCCCATGAATCGTTACGAATTTGACTTGCAATTCTTGAAATTGCGGCTTCTCCTTCAGTTACGTCCCTATTTCTTGATTCGGAGTATGAGGAACCATCAGAAAGCATCCTTACGAAGCTGGATAAGTTAAACGGACCTCCATAAATTTTAATAATTTCTTGGAGGTCTCTTCTTTGAACTAAAATGTTTGTATCCCTTGCGATGCCATTGCGGATATCCTCTACGTCCAGGTATTCGCTCTTCCCACGCCATTTGGAAAAAGCCTGTTTCCCTCCTCTGAAAAATTTTGAAACTTGTTGGGAAATAATTTTGACTAATTCTTTGGGAGGAAGATTGTTGAGGCGCTCGCAGTTGGTACATTCGTCTGCATTGAACTCTGGCTGCTCGGAAGTCATGATTACCGGTTTTTCTCCGAAAATTGAGGGATCTAATTTTCCTCTTCCGCCGGAAGAAGGACTTGACGGGGATTTCGGAGAGTACTGGCCAAATATGGATGGATCAAGTTTGTCACGGCCGCCAAATGAGGGACTGGAAGGAGATTTCGGAGAAAATTGGCCAAAAATTGAAGGATCGAGCCTCCGACCACTCGGGGACATGTTCGGTGAACTGTTAGCGGATGGAAAGTCCCTGTATGGTGAATGTACGGAATTTGGTGAATAATCTTCTGATCTTCGTTCAGGGGAGTATTCAAACGAGTCATTTCGCTCGGAAGAATATTGTCTGTATGGTGAAGATGTTGGTGTTGGATCATATGTCGATCTTCGGCTTTTATTTGGTGATGAATTTTGATTTCTTTGTAAATCATCGTTAATTCTATGTGGGGATGGTGGTATTTCTAACGGAGGAGCAGAAAATTTCGGAGTGGGAATGTCATTCTTTGAGTAACAAATATCTGAAATTAATTTGAAATATTTGATGTATCCAGTGCCTTCATCGTCATATCTATCTATCATATCTTGTATTTCGGACTTTGGAATTGAAAAATAATCTCCAATTTCGTTGAAAATTCTATAAGTGACTAAACCACTTGCATTTTGATCTGATTCCAAGAATTTATTCAAAAACTCTCTTGCGTTTGATCGTAGTCTATCATTTAATGATAAATTAAGATTATTATTAGATTCAGAACCTTGATATTGTAAAAATCGAATGAAATCATTGTATGTCATAGTGTTTGAAGTTATTCCAACAGCTCTCCATAATATTGCAATATCTTGTTGAGATACTTCAAAACCTAATGCGTAAATTCTGCTTGAAAATTGTTCTATGGACAAATTGTCTTCAGTACTAAACATGTTCCATATATTCCAATCAGAAGTTCCTAGAGACTTGATACGTGACTGTATCTGCTGAAGGGTTTGACGTCGTCTAATTCCTTCAGTCATCGTCTGTCAAAAATTTTCAAAATGTTAAGAAAAAAAAGTTATTTGAAAATTCAAAATTTTATTATGTGAAGTAGGATCTGTTTACAAAACGGGAGGTATCAAATAAATTGGTTATTACATCCGAGGATTCACGTGCGACACTTAACAAAAAATCATAATCCTTTTTCGTCAAATCGATTTTCCTAAACCTGCATTTTGATGCCTCACTCCATTCAACAACAAAGTCGGAAATAATTACAAGTAAATCCATAAGATCTTTGCGCATTGGTTTCAGTATTTTTATTGCTGTATCTCTTAAATTGTCATAAACTCCCCTTGAAATATCATGATTTGTATTTTTACTGAACTGTGAAGTAGCCATTTGGAATGCGGCATCATACAAATCAGAAAATACATAGCCTTTTTCTAAAATATACCTAACAAATTCGAAGAATTTACCGGGTAAATTACTTTGTTTGGACTCAGACAAGTATTGTACTGATGGTAAAAATATTGAATTTAAATAACTGTATGCTTTTTCATTATTTCTATTTTTAATTAATTCTTGATATCTGAATTTTTCTATGATTTTTGCATAATTCTCAAGATTTTGACATTTTTGCACGGAAACTAGTAATATATTATATTGATTATCTGCGAATAATTGATATTGCTGTCCAATTCCAACAGCAAATTTCGGATCTAATTGTATTAAACAATTTGCAAAATTTGCTAATTCATGTGCATTTGCCTTAATACCATTTGTAAGCATTCTTATAATTCTATCAAATCTATGACCAAGTAATTCAATGAAATCAAGCTTTTCTTTTCCTGATATTGTGTTAATTACAAATGAAAGTAAATTAATTAAATCATTGAATACAGGTTCGGATGATAATTTGCTTGAATCATTCAATATGTTATCCAATACATTTCTATTTGTAACAAGCATAGTAAGAAAACTTCTGTTATCATTACGTAAAAAATCAGCTAAATAACTAGCAAGAGATATTTCATCAATAACCTTCCTAAGTGCACTAAATTTATTGATAGTGGAATTCTCCATTGCATACAAAATGTAGAGGGCTGTATCGGGGTGCAATGTTGGAGCTGTTGCACATTGTTGAAGGATTTCCATTGGAGTAATTGTGTGGGGGCATAGTGTTTGCTGAAAATCACTCATTTTTGTGTAGAATTTGAACACCATCTTCCAATATAACTGAAAAGCAACATTAATGTTGCTTTTTTGCTTGATAATATTGCTAATTGCTCTGCAAACAGGGTATGAAATTTGATCATATGAAGAATAATCAGCTCTCTGAATAAAATCAAACAATGTATCTAAGTATCCATTTTTGAGGAACATATTTGGTAAATTCCTTGCGAAACCATTGATTACAAATGGATTATTATCGTAATTATTATTTGCTAAATGATAAAACATATGCAATGAATTATCATCTAGAGCATAAAGGTCCAAAAGAATGTCAAACATATTGACGAAATTAGGAATTTTCATATTAACTAATTTCTCTCTCAGCTCTTGTTTGTTTTTGAATCTGAGGATTAGTTGAGAAACTTTATTTTCATCATTGAGAGTGCAAATCTTTTCAATATCATCATGAACTTCTTCTGTTTCTGAATCTGATTTAACACTATTTAGAGAAATAGTAATACTTTGTGGTTGCGAATTCTCTTCCATTGTATGCGGTTTATATTCATTTCTTCGCATTTCATTTGGTTTTCGTTCGGAGTTGCTTGATCTTGTAGACATTTCGGGAGGTTTCTTTTCTTCGTTATCATCATCATCTGAAGATTTCTCATCCCATCTTCTATGTCTGTGTCCTTTTCTTTGTGGTTTTTCGCTACTGTCGGACTGTTTGTTTGTTTCAGAGGATTTTTTAAACAATCTGACATTTCCTTCTTGATCTTTTTCTTTTTCAACTGATTCTGGAACATTGTTTTCTTGGTGTTGCATTTCTTGAACAGCATTAGAATCGATGGCTTCTTCGCCAATAAAATTCTTGTTATTATTGAATTTTGCAATAAATTCTTTGAATTCCTTTGAAGAAACTCTTTGAACTTGAGGAGGAAGATTCGTTGGTGAAGGCATCCACCAGCCTTTCCTGTAAATGGCTATAGAATCATATTTTGCTGTGTTTTCTGACACTGTTTCTAAATCAGTCTCTTTGCAATTTATATTATGGAATCTCACCCAAAAATCGTCAAAATGAATAAAAGTGACAAATCGACCTTTTTTGCTGCATGAAATTGCAGACAAATAATAGTCATTATTATTGATGCAAACAGTATCAATTACTTTCATTGTTTGATATTCAGACATTGTTATTATCAAATACTGTGGAAGTTCATTTGTAACATTAGAAATTGATGCGAATTTGTCCAATTTTCCATCAAGTTGAACCATCAATTTTGAATAATCATTAAAATCGACTTTGAACAAATTAAATGGATTGTTATATGTATTTTTGAACGATTTGTAAGCGATATGAAGGAAATCTTCATTTGAAGTTGATATGTTTTGGATCTTGTTGAGTATTTCTTCATTATCTTGGTTGTTTTGATCCAAATTTTGGAAAAGATTTGCAATATAAGTTGGAAATCCATCAATTTTCTCTTCAAAGCTAAGTATCTTTTCTTTGAACTCAGGGATATAATAGAGCATTTGCATGAATGAAATCACATATTCATTGATGTTTTCTGCCTTGATTCCTTTCTTTTCAATTGGTGTTTCCTTACTAATCTTATCAATCTTTGTATTAACACTATTTATTTCGCGCTTTGATAAATTATTTGTTATTTTGATGAGGAAATCGACGTATTCAAGACCAACGTTTGTGAATTTGTTCCTTGATAAGAATATTTCGAGGAACACTGATGAATATTCACTCATATCAATTGGCAAATGATTTGTGCATTTGATCAAAGAGTTAAGGAAAGAAGGAGTTGAAATCTCTTGGATGTTTTGGAGATTTGCTTCTATCAATTTTGTCATAATCTCAGACATATACTTTTTGTCTTCTACATTTTCAGCAATATATGGAAGAAGACGAATTGCAATTGAATCATTCTCAGTGATAGAATCTCCGAATTGTCCCAAAACAAATGAAGGTAAATCATCTATATCATTTTGAATAAATAACTCTTCAATTGCATCAAGAACTTTCTTTCTTTTCTCTGAAACAACAAATGAATTAAACCCATAAGAAGTAAGGATATTTGATGGGCATCCAATATCAATCAGTTTGAGTAGTTTGATGACAATTCTTTGGTTGTCATGTTTCTCTCCAATGAATGTCATGATTTTGTTGAATTTCTTGGAAACAATATCTCTTGATGGAACAAAATATTGGAATAATTTCTCAAGAACGCATAAACAATAAAGAATGATGTTGTCATCATCAAAAATTCTATAAGATGATAAAACAAATTCAGCAATTTCGTAATCATAATCAGAAGTGATCATTCCAAGTGCTCTGTCGCTTTGTTCTTCTAAGTTTTTCATAATAAAGTGAAGGAAATACAAAGAAAGCCACATGTTACTTCCATCAAGAATGTTCTTTTTGCCTTTGATGCGATTATCGATTTCTTCCATGCATTTTTCATATGTAGGAAGATTATTAAATATATAAAACATATCATATCCTTTCGGATCGTTAATTTGAATAAAATTGAAAAGTCTTTCAATGAAATCGAATTTTGGAATAAGATTATTATTTTCTGATGATTTTCCTTCATATAAAAATCGATCAAATTTAGTTATCGGTTTCATAAATTTATGAATCTTGAAACCGTCAATTGATTTAACAACATCATATGGATATTGTTTTGTTTTAGCAGCTATGTATGAAATAATGCTTAATCCTGAACATTCTTTTGGAAATCCAACAATTTCATCATTAATTTTGATTTTGTGCAAGAATTCATCTGGTAAACAACAATTTGGATTGTTAATCATGAAGTATCCATATGTATGGTAAATAACCTCTGTTGCAAGAGAATATTGTTCATATTTGATACAAGAATTAATTATTTCATCAAATTTGTAGTTTTCGTAATAAATAGTTCTTAAAATGTTAGTCAGTATTTCTTTGTGATATATCTCTCTGTCAATTTTGGAATAAGGAATCAAAATAAGTAAATTTTCGAAATCTACATGCCTGGTTATTTTTAGTTTCTTGTTGTAACATCTGTCTAAGATAAATGCGGCGTTTTCTTTATCAGAATTTTCATACAAGAAATTATCAAGTATCTCGCTGAATGTAGTGATATTATCTATTCTATCCAATAGTTCAAATATCAATCCATTCACACACTCTTGTTTATTTCCATGCTGTTTGAGGATATCTTTAAATGTTTTCACTGGTTTTCTACTTCTAACGATTTGATCAGCAATATTAGATACTTGATTGTTTTGCTCCTGGAGGTGGTCATCTTTCGGTATATCTTTTGATTCTGATACATTTGAACTCATTATCTTTTTATGGGAAAAAAAATTGTTGGAAAAAAATATTGGAGAAATAAAAAATTATTCTTTGAGAAGTGGAAGAACTCTTTAAAAATCAATTTAACTATAAAACCCGAAAAAATAAGTTCCAAATCAAAACCTCAATCTCAATTTTAAAAATTTATTAACATCACATAGGACAAACTATTCTCGCATTGTGAAAATTCATAAATTACTTATTTTTAATAAAATTTAAATTATATAAATCATGATAAATGGAGATATTTCGTTTAGAGGCATCAACCGAGAGCAAAATAGTGGGTGTGAATTGTGTTTCATTGGTAAAGGAGGTCTAAGTGGTTGGCAAAGAGCATCTCGAATAATATTTTTATTCATAAAATGTTCGTAGGGATAAAACTCAGATACGTGCACAGTACAATCATCAGGGAGTTGGAAATTAATATTGTTGGATCCGCAAAAGTAGACTTTATTAAATTGAACTCGATTATCAATATTAAAATAAGAAGTTCTAGGCGGAATATATATAGTTTGCAATGCAGACTTTGAAAAGGCAGCATCTCCAATCGTAGTAATTGTATCTGGCAAGATTAATGTCTTTAAACTACGACATTCATAAAACATTGCGTGGGGCAAAGAAGTAGCATATGCTGCACTTAAATCAATATATTCTACGTTATAACATTCTCTAAATATCTCCATTTCAAATACTTTAATCGAATTATTTAAGATAAATTTAGAAAAAGTGCAACCTCGAAACGATTTTGCGCCAGAAAGTATTTTCACTGATGGTAATATATCAATAGTATAGCTTGATGGATAAATATATAATGTTTTGTAATCAGAACTGTATAATATTCCATTATGAACTTTGAAGAAACGACTTTTTGAGATGATTTCGGTTAATTCGTTACATCCTGCAAATGATCGAGTTTCTATAATCTCTACATTCTCGGGTATTGTTATGTTCCTAAGATGGGTCATTAGAAATGTACCTAATGGAATTTTCTTTAATGAGATAGGTAACGCAACATTTTCTAGGTCTGAAACATAAAAAACATAATCTTCCAATAAATTTGAAGATTTTGTTCCAGAAAGATCTATATATTGAATTCTTGATAAATAAAATGCAAGATTTCTTATTACCTTTATCGAACTTGGAATGTTTATTGATCTAAGAAGAGATTGATAAAAGCAATATCCGCCAATTTCAACAATAGAATCAGGTAATGATATTTCGGTAATGCTGCATCCATAAAAACTTGAATTGCCCAATATTGTAACAAATTTTCCATTAATTAATTTAGGAATTGTTAATTTACCATTAAATGAGGGATTAATTGCACATTGAGTTCCATCTCCAATTTGAACAGATTCTGATGATAAATCAATGTATTGAATTGGAGTTTCGCTGCCTTCATATTTCAGCGATATTGACTTTGCTTTTTCGAAAAATGATTAAATTCAGCTGGAAAGATTTATCCTTAGCTTATGTAAAAAAAAAAAAGGTATTGGGGCTTCCAGGCGCGTTGCGCCCTCTAGCCCCGAAGATGTTTAGTATAAAACCGCTTTTTAACTTCACTTAAAATGCCACGTAAGCTACGTAAGAATATACGTAAGAGGAAGAGAGCATTGAAACATCCAATAGTAAGACTAACACCACAACAACAGTTGCAACAACAAATGCTGAATGACCCCACTATGTTGCAACAAATGTCAAGCAATCCTATGCTTTTAAACCGAGTTCTTGGTGCACAGAGTGGAGGTTTAAGAGCGGCACTTTTAGCGAAAATGGCAGGCTATGGTGGAGCTGCAGACGGAACAGCCTATAACCCTCAAAGTCAAATGAATTTGAGTTCACTCAAAAATCAAATAACAGATGTCAAAAAGTCAAACATAGACATACAGAAGCAAATAAGTGAAAACGAAAAGAAACTAGAATATGACAGACACACAAAGAAACTCAATGAGTTAAACGTAGAGAAAAAGAAGAAAGAAGAACAACTGAAAGAACTAAGTACAGAGGAATATGCGAAAAAAGTGTCAGAAAAAGCAGCAGAAGTAGCAAAAATGGAACAAGATGTTGTAAATTTGAAAAACCATACTACTCGATATAAAGTACTGAAAGATGAAGAGATAAAACAAAAAGCCCTGAAGACATATATGGATAGCGATGAGTATAAAAAAGAAGTTGAAGCAAATGTAAAGGCAGAAAAACTTTTACAGTTGCAAAACCAAACCGTACAGTATGAAAACTTAGCACAAGAAAGTAAAAATAACGACGCAGCCATGCAAAAGGCAATGAAAAGCGCAGAATATATAAAAGCTAACAATGACTGGTTAGATGCCCAAGCCAACGCCAAAGCAGCCCAGCTTATAGGGTCAATAAGGACAAAAATACAAGCGGATGAAGACAGTTCAAATGAAGCTTTAACAAATGCTGACTTTAAGAACGCCTTCGAAGCTCTTCATAGTAAGGTGAAACAAGTGAACGACTTCTCATCTGGAAAGAAACTGAAGTCTGAAGGTTTCGACAAAGAGTTAAAAGAAGTAGCACAAAATATGACGAAAATAACAGATGCAGCAACGAGACAGGCAGTTCAAAGTGCCTATGACGCCGTTAGAGCAACTGTTGTGAAAAGTCAAGAAAAAGAGTTACAACAGACCAAAACAGACCTAGTAAATGCTTTCTTAAAAACGAAAAGTCAGGTAGGACATTACGCTGCAGATGGAACATATGTGCCAGCTGGTGGAACTTATATACCAGCTGGTGGAACTTATATACTAGCTAGTGGAACTTATATACCACCAAACCCTCCAAGAGAAGCACCTGCACCAGGACTACCTAACACATTTACATCGTCACATGGACACAGACACAGGCATGCACCAAAACCAGCACAACAACCACCTCCACAACCAGCACAACAACCAACAGTTCAAAACCCTGCACAACAACAACCACAAACAGCACAGCAACCAGCACAACAACCAGCACAACAACCACCTCCACAACCAGCACAGCAACCTCCACAACCAGCACAACAACCACAAACAGAGCAAGGACATAAAAGAAGTAGAGAACAAGGAAACCAAGAATTCTTAAAAAGGCTTAAGGAAGAGTGTGGTTACCCAGATAGTATTGACTTTAGTGACAGATATAAAGAAGCTATTAGAAAGTTCAAGGATGGAAATACTGACCCGGACCTATTTAGCTTTATGGCTCAGCACCAAAACGGATATAAATTCAAACCTGGAAAATACAAGCTCGCTAAGGGATATGATTTAATAGCATATCATCCAAATGACATGAACGAATTTACTCCGAGATATTTGATGTCAGAGCTAAATGACAATTCAACTCCCGTCATGAAACGCGTAAAAAATAGAGACGGAACGAAAGAAGAAAGGTTTATGAGTCCGGATGACTTAGATAGGGAAATTGTTGAAAACGGTCTCGGAATATATGAAATGCCAGCAGATGAGGTACAAGAAACTCCACAGGAAGAAGTTCAGATACAACCAGACATGGAAGAAATAGTTCAGCAACAACAGCTAGAAGAGCCTGAAGGAAACGAACAAGTCACTCCTTTGGAAACTAACTTCACAGAACTAGATGAAGATTTGGAACAGCCGAAAAATCTTGACCCTCAACAAGAGTATGCGGAGAATATGGAATATTTCCAAGAGTCTAAAAAAAATTCGGCTGACATAGTAGAAGAATATCGAAAAATGTTTGCCGACATACAAAAGACTCCAACACAAGATGAAAATATTCAGCATAGAATGGAAGCACTGAAAGAAAATGTACACAAATACAACAACCCTTTTTACTTACGAGCATTTAACGTTCAATCTTTGGATGAACTCGGTGAAAATAAAAGGTTAAATTTCAACAAAACATATAGAAATGAAACATTGTTTAAAGTTCATTCAGAACCTAACCAAGATGGAAACAAACCTACTTTTGTTTCTGCAGACGATGGAACTACAATGAGATGGGGTCATAAAGCTAATCCGGATAGGTGGTTCATAAACTTACAACCACAATTCCAAGAAGTTGTAGACGCAATGGAAGAATGGTGAACAGATATAGCTGGTATTTTAAGCGCGGCTTTAATGCCATTGAAAGATATGAAACATGCAGATATTTTGGACCAGTATGAAATGAACATGGCTGATGGAAATATAACACCTGACGTTCTAGAACATTTATCTCAAAGAACTACACAGAACCATAGAGATGGTATATTTGGTGAAGAGTTTAGAAAGAAGTTAGGGAGAGAGAAGGAAGAGAACCTATTGTACATGACCTTGCAAATGAAAGTTTGCAAAATGTCATAAAAACTTACTTTGCAGACAATGAACTGAGAAGGGATGAATATTTAAGAAAACTCAAATGGACAGTACCAAATGAAATGTTAGTATTGAAAAACATGTTCCTTGACAAAATAAAACCAACTACAGAAATAAACGACGCAAGACTGAAAGATTGGGTAAAAGCTTTCCCATTCACAAAAGATATAGTTGGTAACATGGAAAGAAAACCAGAATGGCTACAAAAACATATATTTGGAAACGAGCATATTCCATATGGACAGGCACTGTTTGAAGAGCTTGAACCGGAAACTCAGGAAAGAGTCATGCAAACAATAAGCGACGACTCAAATACAAACTATGACAAACTCTTTCTAGGATATAGGTTACCTGAGATGGGCGACCAGAGCCCAAAGGCAAAAAGGACATGGAAAATTTGCAACATACTAGATGAACATGAGGCAAAGATGCAACAACTTGAAGCAGAGGGCAAGTTACCAAAGCGACACCAAAGAAGAAGAGTAGAACAAAGTGAAAGTAGTGAAGAAGTAACTTCATCTAGTGAAAGTAGTGGCAATGAAGGAAAAAGAAGAGTTAAAAACTCAGTCAGGAAGAAAGTAAAGCTTGGTCCACGTGGGTTCTATTATGACAAATAAATCCAACTATTCTATATTTTTACCCATATGAAATGTACGCCGCTCAGAATATAACGCCAACAGTTTTGGATGCCATGAACGGAAATGTTTCCGAATGGTATAACGAATGCGACAATGCCATTAGAAGGTCAGAAATAGTTCCTGGAACTTACGAATATACAACTGCTGTTTCATATGGAAACGTAGGTGAGTTTGGAGAAGGTTCTTCAACAACAGTAGATATTGCTTGCGACAGGTTTCATATAATTTCTATTGACAACTCTTTCTTATACGTGGAACAAGACATTGAAATAAAACCTTCTGCCAAGTTGTCTGACAAGAAAGGTTGCAATGGAATTTTCTATGTCGGATACCAATATGCTCCAGAAGTTTTCATGGGATATAAGATATATTCTAACTCTGACTTAGTTCAAACAGTAACATGGGCAAACTATGAATGGTTCGCTTTGAGAAACTCAGTACAACCACAAGCTAGAGAACAAACAGACCAGTATGCAACTATTGAGAAAATAAGAAGACTTGACCCTAACGTTCCAGGAGTTTATGTTAACCTTTCTGGACAAACTGCAGCAGCAGTAACCAAAGTAAAATTGAAACTTAGAGTTCCTTTGTCATCTTTCCTCATCTTCAGGTTTTTAAGATACTTGCCAAACTGGGCAGGAAAAATTTCTATCGAACTTACTCCAAGCAAAAATAACTTAGCCATTGCACCAACGCAAGACCCATTCA